TTCAAAAGTCCGAGAGTGCTGATCACTATTTATACATATATATATATATATATATTTGTGTTAAGGGCTCATGATAGTACAGAAGATACAAACACTGATAAGTGTGGGATAGTGTGAAAGAGCAAGTCGGTTGTGGTGTGCCGGAACCGACGATGAGGTAGGCCTGCAAATAAAGAGGGCCCACCAATAAGAAATGTATGAGAAAAAGGAGTTAATAAAAGAGGAGTGGGTGGGAGGGTGATGCAGCGCTGACCTCGAACGGTATGGAGCCAGGTAAGGGGTGTCCCTTAAGTAGGAAGAAGGTGAGTCATACGCCCCTCCCACAATTACAGGCCAAAAGGCCTTAATACTTGTGTTAAGGGCTCATGATAGTACAGAAGATACAAACACTGATAAGTGTGGGATAGTGTGAAAGAGCAAGTCGGTTGTGGTGTGCCGGAACCGACGATGAGGTAGGCCTGCAAATAAAGAGGGCAAAAGTAGAAAATATACTTTATTACGAAACGAGCAGTATACATACTTCAACCAGACATATCTTGAAAGGCATTTCTAACTTCTTGTACCGGGTTAGGTATGTATCTAGAGTATGCAGAAGACTTCCAGCGCCCTAGTGACTTGATAACATGTACTGGAATGTTTGCACTGGACGCTGTGGAGGCCGCCCCTATGCGGAAGGAGTGGCCCGAATAGTTAGCTGATTTTAGGCCTAGTTGTGTAAGTAGGGACCTGACGTGGGTCATGAAGGTGGTGGTAGTGAGTACCGAACCTTGTAGACAGAAAAGTGGTTGAGATGGTGATGCTTTGAAATGCTGAGTATAGGTGTCCAGTAATGTGACGGGGCACCACACGTTGTGGGTAGGATAGTATCTAACCTCTACCGGGGGTGCGTGTTGATTGGTTTTGGAGTGATGCAGAGCTAAAATATAGTAATCCATGTGTTTCGTTAAGTGTGAATGAAGCAGAATGTGAGTGGACTGGGATGTGTTGATGGCGGTAAATTCTCTTGGTCTCAAGAAACCATAAAAGCTACGTATATGGCGGTTTTTATAACAAGGTTTGTGTTGTTCGCAAAGGGTTTTGAATCTAGTAGGCTGGATAAATCCTTGAAGATATTGAAGTCTATAGGTAGCCTTTGCGCGGTACGTGGGGGTTCGGATCTCTGGATACCTCTAAGGATGTTTTTTTATCTGGTAGGAGGACATGAAACTTGTGTTGTTTGGTTGTAATGTTAGCATGTGATGTTGTATGCCTGTCAGATATAGCTTGATTGTGTTGTAAGATAATTTAAGTTTGAGGTGGCAAAAAGAAGCAAAGCCTAACAAAGATGAAAGGTTGTGTGACGTTGTGCAGCGACAGGAATCTTTTAAATAGAAGGAAAGCCCTGTCATATGTTCTCCGGGTATTGGTGGACAGTGCTAATTGTGCCAATGTCCTGCTATGTTGCATAATAGCTTCTAGTCCATGACTAGCTGGTGGAAAGGTGGAGTGGTCGTGGCTGTACGTGCGGCTGACGGAAGTATTTGCCGAAAAGCCTGAAAAATTGAAACGAGACAAATTGTCAGCAGCCGTGTTACAAACACCTGGGACATGGACACAAAACAAGAAGAAGTTATGGCATGCAGCCAGCCAGGTGAGTTTCCTCAAGAACCTCATAATGGTCAGTGACTTGGATCGGCCTTTGTTTATGATGTGGCAGGTAGCTTGGTTGTCTGAGTGGCAACGTACTGACGAACCTGCCCATAGATGCCCCCATGTCACGGCAGCCGCCACAATGGGATACATCTCAAATAGAGCTGAGGTAGTGGAAAAACCTTCCAGGTCCTGTACCTCTGGAGGCCAGCTACCCCAAAGCCATTCATTCCCATAAATTGCTGCAAAACCTGTGGTAGACGCCGCGTCTGACCAGATGGTAGGTGAGGAGTCAGACAATTTAGGGAGAAACATGCTTTTCCCATTCCAGGTGGTCAAAAAGTTTCTCCACATAAGTAGGTCTGCCGTGGCTTGGGTATCCATTGGTAACCTGTGTGCATCATGTCTAAACAGTGGGAACATGGTTAGGAGCCGTGAGATGAAAGCCCGGCCTTGAGGTATAATGCGCATGGCAAAGTTCAGTGACCCAAGTAGAGACTGCAATTCTTTGCGATTGCAAGTACCGAGGTGTATGTAGAGGTTAATGTTGGTGAGAATGTTCTCTATCTTGGTGCGTGGCTTGCATGGTGGCTGAGTCTAGCATGATTCCCAGAAAGGTGATGACTGTATCTGGTCCTTCAGTTTTGGTGGGGGAGACTGGAACACCCACCTGTTTAAAAAGACTGATGGTTTCTATGAGGCTACTGGGAAGGGAAGTGTTCTCTTCGATCAGTAAGAAATCATCCAGGTAGTGTATAACTGTAGGGCATCTGGCTACATTTAATAATAACCAGCATAATGTTTCGGCGAATACGTCGAAAATGGCCGGACTACTTTTTGAACCAAACGCTAGGCGTGAGAAAAAGTAGTAGTGCCCGGCCCACTTAATGCCATGCAAGTGCCATAGTGTAGGGTGGATAGGCAATAATTTGAAGGCATTTGTAATGTCAGTCTTGCTGAGCCATGCTCCGGCCCCTGCCTGCATGATAGCTGTAATGGCGTGATCTATGGTGGAGTATTGAAGTGAAAATTCCTCAGAGGGGATAAGGGAGTTCAGACTAGGTGAGGCAGAGGTGTGAGGTGCAGACAGATCGATGATAAGTCTTTGTTTGTGGGAAGATTTCCCTGTGACAATACCGATGGGGTTTGTCCGCCATGTGGAAAAGGAGAGGACTGAAAGGGTCCCAATAGGAAGCCCTCTGCCACTTCTTTGGCTATGAGTGTGCTAACCGCTGTAGGGTTTTGTTGTGCAGATTGTAAATTAGGACATTAAAGGATTCCTGAAGGCATGTGTATGAGACCAGTATGGAATCCTTGTGATAGACCAGTGATGATGAAGTCTACCAAATGTCTAGATGGATGTCGTGACAGTAATGCCGTGAGTACAGAAATATTTATCTCAGTTAAGTATTGCTTGGGGTACATTTTATTTGGACACATGGTTTTCGCATGTGCCCTAAAACATTTTGAACATATATGCAATAACCGACAACCGCTGTAATTACATGCACCGACATTGAAATTATTACATATTTGGGACTTCCCCAAAAACTTGATAGGTCGACCCAGTTTGTCTTTAGGTGTTCTCTCTGCTGACACAGTGGAGCTAGTGCCCTGCGAGGTGGTAGGTTCGTTCGCAGTGGTCGGACAAAAATTGGCAGTATGAGCCATGGAGGAGCAGTGTGCACAGGCCGGTGCTCTTAGACCTGCAAAGTGCCTGCAAAATATGATCGTATCAATCTTACTCCAGTTGGACCTTGTCCCGTACTGTGAGAAGGCGCCAGACACTTTGGCAGAAAAGGATCTATGGTAGTCATGGAAAGCTGACCCACCATATTTGTTGCCCAGATCAACCAGCCTGTGCATATATAAGTCAAACTCCTCACGTCTGTGGGGATATACCGTACAGACCACATCCCGATAAATGCCAAAAGCTAATACAAATTTTGGAATGGTTAGCTTCCTATTTAATCGTGCATCCCTGGATTTGACCACCACAGAAATATCGTCATAAGCGTAGGTCTTATGTTCCACTATATCCTGGGAGGCAATTAGTAGTGAGGCCAGATTGACATCTTTACCTTCCAGGATATCTGTCCTGAGGTGCTCAGGAATCATGTGGGCAGGGTAAACTTCTTGGTCATCCGAGGTGATAGCTGGAGAAACTGATTGCGACTCCACCACTGATGGGGGAATTGCCGTGGCCGGTCCAGCCATAGTGAGGGCTGTAGTGACCGATTCAAGTTTCTCCAGCCTAGAACTGACCTTGCTCATGGATGTCATGAGGGACGTGAGCATGTCATGTATGTTTCCTGGGTGAGACTGGCTCGACCCTTCCCCAGCGTCCATGTTATCGGTTGAGGTGTGTAATAATTTGTAAAGTTCCGCTTTCCTTGCTGTTGCTGGAAAAGGGATTTGTTGTCTCCTGAGTTCGCTAGTGATACGAGGGATAGTCCATGATCTGAAAGATGCTGGACTAGCCGTATCTTCCTCCTGTGATGGGGTGTTTGTTCTAGCCGGAGTCCTTGGGATGGAGAAATCCTCTACCCCCTCTTGAGACATACTAGATTACAAAGTATATGGTTAGCGTAAAAAACCCCCGAGGGGATGTACTGGCAGGCTAATTATGCCGGATGAGGCGAAAAATTAAACTTGTTCTTTGGTGACAGGTGAGGCCCTGCTAGTTGCCAAGTGGCTATGAGAGGCTCTATCTATGCGTTGGCGCGAGGGGTTATTGAGGCCACCCGACGTAGTGGCAGGAATTCGTAGGCCTCTTGGTGACAATACAAGAAAACAGGGGAAGGGAGTGACAGGTGGCACCCTCTCTATAATGCGAGGCGGCTAACTCACGTGTGGCCCGGGGGGCATTACCTCCGAAACGTTGAGGCGGGGTGTTGGCCTCGCGGACCACTAAACGATAGGCAGAATGCCCGGGGGGGGGATACCTATTTGGGCCTATAACCCCTAAAATTGCCAGTACTCTATGTCCTAAGTAGAGGAGGAGCCATATGTGATGTATGGCGTGAGCAGGCTTAACATACCTGGTAGTATGTATGCGTTTGATAAGCGATAGGTAGAGACTAAAGGGATAGAAAAACCAAATGTGATAGTGTGAGAATTGGATCCTATGATACCAATTTAGACTAGTTAGTTGTGATGAGTTCTAGTAGTACATATGGAAGGGGAATATATGAATGATATTGGCCCGACTGGCCCTGTATGTGGTATGGTAATCATGCTTGGGGGTGTGTATGATATGTCTCTTATGGTGACAAGATTAATGTGTATGATATAGTAATGCTAGTGTTTGTAGTATAATAAGGTGCAGGATTTAAAACAATACCGTATATGTTAGGCCGTAAACGTAAGCCATGAAAAGAGGTAAGTACGAGGTACAGAAATATTTGAGAAATTATCCCAAATTAGGAAACAACGTGACGTATGAGTGGTTGAATCAAGACGTGTGATTCAACCCGAAAGTTTGTGAGATTTTTTGAGACCGTGTTCTTGTGTACTTGGTATGTCGTTTGAGTACACAAAGAAAAAGTCAGAATATATAAGTGCCATGTAAGAAACGTGAGTACATGGTATGATAGAAACGTAATTTCTAAACATAATTTATAACGTAAATCCTACAAGAGATATCTGTAAAATGTAAAAGCTTGTCTAAGCTTAACTCCATAAATATATGTATATAACATGAAGAATTTCAATAAAACTTTAATGCCATATCTGCTAAAAGATTAAACCATAACCTAAATAAATACTTATTTATAAGTAGTTAACAGGGGTATTGCCCCAGTCATATGCAAGGATTTTGTAATTTGCATAAAATAAATTACAGTAATAACATGAAACCAACTATAGCTGCTGATATGCAGAACAAGTTGCTTAATACAAGAAAAAAACGAAACCGATATGCCTGCCGGCAGCAAAGGGGTTAATATGCCTGTGACTTGGCCGTAAAGCGTGTGGCCGTAAAGTAAGGCCGTTTTAAATCGCGACGCCGTGGGAAATGATCCGGGCGACGGATTTACGATTTTGAAGTCCTGTGGACTTAATCTGCGACGAAAACACCGGGTATGTGCGTGGCTGAACGGGCGGAAAACCTGTAAGGATTCCTGGACACAGCTACACCAAACGAAAACCGCGGGTTTTTGAAAAGCAAGATGGCGCCGTACGTGAACCGGAAGTGGATTCTCGATGCAGCGCTGACCTCGAACGGTATGGAGCCAGGTAAGGGGTGTCCCTTAAGTAGGGAGAAGGTGAGTCATACGCCCCTCCCACAATTACAGGCCAAAAGGCCTTAATACATATATATAAGTATACATACATACACATGTGTGTATATAAAGAATGTGTGACTAAGTGGCTACTACAAAAGACTAGACATACCCCATTATTTTTTATTTTTTTTAAATTTGGCATTGTTTGGTTTAATACCTTAGGTTGTCTTCTTTTAAAAAATATATACATGTGAAGGGTTATTCAGGGATTCCTGACAGATATCAGTGTTACTATGTAACTTTCATTAATTATGGCAAAAAAATGGTTTGGAAATAGCAAAGTGCTACTTGTACTTATTGCCCTATAGCTTGCAAAAAAAAAGCTAAGAACATGTTAACATTGGGTATTTTAAAACTCAGGACAAAATTTAGAAACTATTTAACACAGGTGTTTTTTTGGCGGTTGTAGATGCGTAACAGATTTTGGGGGTCAAAGTTAGAAAAAGTGTGTTTTTTAAAATTCTTTCATCATATTTTATAATTACTTTTATGGTAAATTATATGATATGATTAAAATAGTGGTATCTTTAGAAAGACCATTTAATGGTGAGAACAAAGGTATATAATATATCAATAAATGAGTAAGAGAAAAATTACAGCTAAACACAAACACCACAGAAATGTAAAAACAGCCCTGGTCCCAAACCGTAAGAAGATTGAAAAACGATCTGGTCACTAAGTGGTTAAGTTTCAGAAGACAAAAAATGTGCATGCAATTAGAAATAAAAATGTATTTGGAAAATGTACAAATGGATTCAGTATCATAATTCAGTATCATAACACGTGAAATAGATACAGTTGACATTGCATTGACTATATTAGTTTGATAGTGTGACAAACTGCCATTTGCCACTGGGCATTGGAGAGGACTGATTGCTAGCCTCCTGCCCTGCGACTATGGCCCTGGGATGTATTGCCCTTTAAGAACTGATTTGGACTTATGGACTTTTATTGTACAGTGCTGGCCCTTTTAAAAACAGTGTATGGACACATGGAAACTTTTTGGACACTTTTTCTTCCCCTTTGAATCCCTGGGAAGGTGAGGCTCTTCCCCTCCCCCAGCTCCATTGTTCTCCAGCAGGGAGTTGTCCCAGGGACACTGCCAGACCAGTGGGAACTGGTTTGGGAAGGAAAAGCCATGCTTGCAATTGATAATAAAGGGACCTCAACCTAACTTTTTAACCCCTGGACGGATTCATGTGATTTTTACATATGTTGCTCCCCAAGTTATGCTGATAACAGAAATATAAGTTTTATTCGTATGTGATGTAAAATACATGGGATGTAAAATACATGTGATGTAAAATACAGGGAGTTATAAAAATGTATAAAAAGTGTAACTTTTCAGCTTGGAGATAATTGAGTAGATACAGCAATTGACTCAATTATCTCCTAAGCAGAGGGGAGGAATATGATGGGTGTGTTTCTATTGTCCCATTGTGTCTGATTGGCTGCTGTACTTGCATTGTATATGTTGTAATGTGTTTATTGGTTGTTCTGAAAAACCCTGTGGGTGGTCCTATGTAGGGAAAACCTGCATAAAAGAAGGCCCTTTGGTGCCAAGTAATACAGATCTTCTTGACCCTCAATACGTAGCCTTGTCTCGTTATTGGAGGGAACTGCTATATCACACTGGGGATTGCTATGCTCTGCATACTCCCCTGAGCTTTTAATCACTTAGCTCTTTTAAGAGCTGTTCCTGTTACGCTCTCCAGGAGGAGAGGTCTTCCCCACATGGTCCTGGAGGACAGAAGCTGATCCAGGGTGGAAGGAAGACGGCGAGACTCCAGTTAAGCTACGGCGGTTGGAGAGTCTGCGGTGGTTGTGGTGTCTGCTGCAGTGTTTGGAGTCCTCAGGAAGCGCTAGGAGCATCCATCAACGGAGGGTACTCGGTCGGAGTACAGGGAGCTCCGTTACAGATAGATTTAAGTTTTAAAGGGAAAGTGGTATGTCCAAATCCTACTCTTGTTTGTTGAATGCAAACTCTTTTGACATTTACAAGGATAGAGTTGAAATGTGTTACAAGCTACAATGTAATGTTGTAATGTTGCTTATGTATCCTTTCCTGAGCTTTTGTGAAAGATGTTCAAAATGTATCTTATAAGTGCCGCATTGCTCGCTCATTTATATTTCAAAACACATATAAGATCATGGTCAGAATAAACTATTTCAATATCTTTTGTTTCTATCATATTTAATTGTACAGATTTTCTTCAATTCAAAATCTTTTGACATTTGCCAAGACTGTGTTCCTATGGGTCATAGACTACAATGTAATGCTTCAGATGTTTACTGTTATTCACATTCAAGATGTTCAGTGTTTATATTATATTTAAATCATTGTTGTCTTGTTAAATTAGGGATTTAGACATCCTTTGTTTATATTATTTTTCATTGTACATATATTCCATATTTTAGTTACTGCTCCAGTGGAGAATGTGATCATAGAGAATATAACCACCAATTTATGGTCAAAGACTAAATGTCTTAATGTGTTTCATGCCTCACCTGCTATAGACTGTAAGCTTGTTTGAGCAGGGCCCTCTTCAACCTATTGTTTCTGTAAGTTTTCTTGTAATTTTCCTATCTATAGTTAAATCCCCCCTCTAAAAATATTGTAAAGCGCTACGGAATCTGTTGGCGCTATATAAATGTCAATATTAATAATAAAAATAAATTATCTGTTTAGATACCTTTTGTTTATGTTATTTCTCAGAGCACATTATTTCTATATTCTAGTTCCTGCTGCAGTGGATAATTTGATCATAGAGAATATCACCACCAATTCTGTTCTCCTGATCTGGCAAACTCCTGAAGGGAACAGAAGTTCATATGAATTAGAAGTTTTAGGCAATTCATCATCCATTGTGAGCCTTAATTCTAATGATACATCTTACCTTGTGGAAAACTTAATACCTGGGAACTTTTACACATTCAATATCTATGCCAAAGCTGGAAACGGTTTGACTGGGGGCATCGCAGAAAACTATACATTCACAGGTATATATAGAATAGCATGTTGATAATCATTATAAAAATGTAATAGCAAAATGATAGCTAAATAATTAACTTTCAGAAGATAAAAATAACCTATATGTAAGTTGAAAGGAACATTAATTTGGTAAATATACAATGTAAGATTTTAAAGCAACTGTGGTATATCCATTTTTCCCCTTTGTTAAATCCAGGTTAAGTTTCTTGAAGGCAAAATCTTTTGCCATTTGCCAAGACAGTGTTGCAATGGGTTTTGACCTACCATGCAATGTTTCTGATGGTTGCTGTTATTCACAATCAAGGCGCTCAGTGTTTCTATTATAGTTGAAGCATTGTTGTCTTGTGCATATTTCAAAAATATATATATGGTCAAAGACAAAACTAATATTTCGATCGTCTTTGTTTATGTCATATTTCATCGAACATCATTTCTATATTCTAGTTCCTGCTGCACTACAGAATGTGATCATAGAGAATATCACCACCAATTCTGTTCTCCTGATCTGGCAAACCCCTGAAGGGAACAGAAGTTCATATGAATTAGAAGTTTTAGGTGATTCATCATCAATTGTGAGCCTTCAGTCTAATGATACATCTTACCTTGTGGACCAGTTAATACCTGGGAACTTTTACACATTCAATATCTATGCCAAAGCTGGAAACGGTTTGACTGGGGGCATCGCAGAAAACTATTCATTTACAGGTAAACATTGAATAGCAGGTTGATATCTCATTATAAAATTTGAAAAGCAAAATGATAGCTAAATAATTAACTTTCAGAAGATAAAAATAAACTGCATGTTGGTTGAAAGGAACATTAATTTGGTAAATATATACTAATGAGTTTAAGGTGATAGCAGAGTGAATTAGTTAGATTTGACAATGCATTGACTATACTAATTTGACAATGTAAGATTTTAAAGCAACTGTGGTATATCCATTTTTCCCCTTTGTTAAATCCAGGTTAAGTTTCTTGAAGGCAAAATCTTTTGCCATTTGCCAAGACAGTGTTGCAATGGGTTTTGACCTACAATGCAATGTTTCTGATGGTTGCTGTTATTCACAATCAAGGCGTTCAGTGTTTCTATTATATTTGAAGCATTGTTGTCTTGTGCATATTTCAAATATATATATGGTCAAAGACAAAAGTAATATTTCAATATCTTTTGTTTATGTCATATTTCATTGCACATCATTTCTATGTTCTAGTTCCTTCTGCAGTAGAGAATGTGGTCATAGAGAATATCACCACCAATTCTGTTCTCCTGATCTGGCAAACACCTGAAGGGAACAGAAGTTCATATGAATTAGAAGTCTTAGGCGATTCATCATCAATTGTGAGCCTTAATTCTAATGATACATCTTACCTTGTGGACCAGTTAATACCTGGGTACTTTTACACATTCAATATCTATGCCAAAGCTGGAAACGGTTTGACTGGGGGCATCGCAGAAAACTATACATTCACAGGTAAATATAAAATAACATGTTGATATTTCATAAAATTTGAAACACAAAATGTAAGAAAAATTATACAATTTCAATTGTTAAAATAGAACCAAAACTGAAGGTAACTTAAAAGGAACATTAATTTGGTAAATATTTACTAATGCATTTGTGATGGAGAGTTGGCAATGCATTAACTAGACTAATTTGACAGTGTTTTTGAAGCAACTGTGGTACATCCATTTTTTTCACGTTGCGAAATCCAGGTCAAGTTTCTTGAGGGCAAAATCTTTTGACATTTGCCAAGACAGTGTTGCAATGAGTCATGGGCTACAATGCAATGTTTTTTATTCACAAAAAAGGTGTTCTGTGTTTATATTATATTTGAAGCACTGTTGTCTTATGCATATTTCAAAAAGATATATATATATATAAATATAGCATGCTGAAATATCATTATAAAATTTTATACCAAATGTGATAGCAAATTAATTCACTTTTAGAAGAGAAAAAGAAAGTGTATTTAAGTTGAATGGAAGATTTATCTTGTAAATATTTCCTATTGAGTGTAAGATTATAGTAAAGTAGTTAATTCAATCTCGTGGCATGATGACATTGGAAGCCATGGATGAAGCATCCGTGGATCTCGCAGTGCTAAACTGAGCATCAAGGGAATCTCGTAACGGAGGCGTAGGAGGAGTGGTGGCACTGCGTTAATTTCAGAGGGTGACAGTCGCGGTATGCTAAGCTGGAAAAAAACTTGATAATAGTGCTAGTCAGAGTGGTGAAAAAAGAGGGCAATCCCTGCAAACAGAAGTTGCACTTTGAGGCTGAGAGGCCTTGAGCTCGTGTCTCTGAAACCCTAAAACATCTCTGCCCAGGCCTTGCTCATCAGGGCCCATGGCGTGTGCATTTGCTGGCGAAGAGTTAGAACAGACTCTACGCCAAGTGGCCCCGCTGCCATGGTAGGCGAGTTAAGAGAATTGCGCGTTCAACGCTGTGAAGCTGGCATCTCGCATTGATGACTGCCCCTTCCCCTCCCTCGTGTGTGCTCGTGGCTTCAGAAGGTAGCTCGTATAAACTAAAGCTTTTGTACCCCCCTCTCCTCCTCCCAAGCTCCTGCCCGCCTTTGTGTCTCTCCCAGTCTTCGTCTGTGTAGTAGCTCCCATGCCCCTGTGCCCCAAAACCGCCCTGCCCTGCTTCCTGGTGCATGTGGTTTGGGCCTCTCCTGCTCCCCCTGTTTCCCAGCACCCCTTCCTCTCCTGCCCCCAGGATAAGTTTCTCTCGGCCCCTCCAGTTTAGCAAGATTTAGCTGTCCACCCATCTATGACTAACAGTGTGTCCGTGCAGGCATAAGCCTGGTGTACCCTAGTTCTCGCTACCCCTATCTTAAAACTCATTGCAAACCCCCAAAACCGGCCGTCCATTCCAAGGTATAATGTTTGATTCCCGTCCCGTGGTAAAGAGGAGAGGGAACCGGAACCAGAGGAAGAAGCAGCCCATTCCCGTGGGTCGTCGACTTCTTCGGAAGCCGACGAGGTCGGCCGCACCGCGACAGCTCCGCTCCCCCTCACCCCCCGCGTGCCACGCCATCTCGCCCTCTTAGTCATATAGTCCATCCACAGAAACCAGGTCGTGGCACATTTGTCCGAGCGCCCCTGCAGGGAGGCCGTCAACATCTCCAGATTATAGATATTTTCCACCCTGTTGACCCATTGTTGGAAGGTAGGCACTGCACGACTTTTCCAGTATATCGGTATTAAGGTTTTCGCTGCAGTGAGCATGTGTATGGTCAAGCCCCTTTTGTAGCTCTGTAGCGGTGTTTGTGTGTGATTAAGCAACATCAGCAATGGTTCCAGCGGGAGGTCTGCGTCCACGATGTCCCTGATCGTTTGGTGAATCTGCCGCCAGAATGGCTCTATTAGCGGGCATGACCACCAGACATGAAGCCTCGTGCCCGGTTCCCTGCCACACCTCCAGCACTCCCCTGATATTGACTCATGGACATGGCGCAAGAGGTCAGGGGTCCTGTGCCAGCCGGTCAAAATTTTATAATTACATTCCTGATACTTGGAGCATATGCTCCCCTTGTGCGTCAGTTGAAAGATCTTTCCCCGTCTCCTGCTCCTAGCGTTCAGTGAATCCCAAGGGGGTCTTGCCCTTCTGTTGCTGGAGCATGGCGTATAGCATGGACACCCCATGCATGAGGTGCTGTCTGTCTGCGCATGCCTGTTCCAGGAGAAGCAGCGGTCGGTGGATGTGACCTTTCCCCGGTATAGAGGTGTAGTACCTGTGCAGTTGGTAATAGCGGAATTCGTCCAGTCTCGTCGGTGTGTGTTCTGGCATCAGATCCTTTAGTGATTTAAGTGTTGCATCCGTGCACCAGTGCCACATGTAGGACCAGTCTGACACCGCAAAGTTCGTTAAATCCGCTGAATTAAGTCCTCCCGCTAGTCATGGGTTATTAGTTATAGGGATAAGCGGATTTGGTGCCGTGGTGAGTTGTTTGGTGTATCTGATCCTACACCATACTCGCAGAGTGGAGTCTATCATCGGGTTTCCCGTGTGGATGTCTCCCAAGACAGTGCCATCCAGCCATATCAAGGAGGGGATCCGTCCCTGCGCTTGTTGCCTCTCCATGTCCACCCACTGCTTGGTGGTCGGCTTTGCATGCCAGTCCACCAATCGGCAGAGGTGAGTCACCTGATAGTAGGAAAGCACCGACGGAAGTCCTGCTCCTCCCACGTGTTTCGGACGCTCCAGGATCATCTTGCGAATGCGTGCCGGCCCCCTGTTCCATACAAATTTCCATATGGTGGTTGTTACGGATTGAAAAAATAGCCGCGGGATATTCGTAGGCAGCGTCTGGAACAGGTATAAGATTCTTGGCATAACGTTCATCTTTATGGCGTTAATCTACCCAAACCATGAGATGTACTGAGAGGACCACTTTTCCAGGTCCCCCTGAAGGGTCGCGAGGAGGGGTGTAAAGTTAAGAGGATATATGTCCGTGAGCTCCTGTGGCAGCCATATTCCCAAATACCTAAGCTTTGTCTGACATACCCTGAACGGGAAGTGCCTATGCAGATACTCCGCCATGGTGTCCCCCAAGGCTAGCGGCATAGCCTCTGACTTGTCCAGATTGAGTGCAAGATTTGAGACTACGGCATAGTCCCTGAACGCTTTCAACAAGTTTGGTATTGATATCCGTGGTTGCTCCAGAAAAAAGAGCATATCATCCGCATAGGCCGCAACTCTATGCTCTCCCCGACCTATGCGGATCCCTGTGATACCCCCGTCCCGTCTGACCGCCTCCAGAAATGGTTCCAGAGTGAGGGCAAACAGAAGGGGATGGCTAAACCCCAGCCCCAGTCCCCTGAGTGTTCAGCCGCGGCGTAGTCCCCAAGGAACCCAGGCTTACAAGCTCATGTCCGCAGCCTCTCCCCAGCACCCATCGAGCTTCAGCACTCAGTCCAGGACCCCAATCATCCCACCCCACCTCTCTACACCTCACCGCAAGACCCCCGCTTGTGAGCCTCCTCACCACCAATGGGCCTATACTAATCCCCCCGATTCCCCCACCCAACGTACTGAGTCCCCGAGGGTACCTGCGTACTGAACTGCCCTCTACCATGCTGGGTCCCAAAGCAGCGCTGCGTGGGGTAGGTCTGGAAGAGCACGAACACCTCCTGGTCAGGCAAGAACTCCGCTGGTTACTCCTCTGGTCCCACAGGGCCACCCCTGCGGCGTTGCAGGCCGGGTGTCGAATGAAGATTATGCGCCACTTTCGTCGGTCCCGTTGCCCTCGCCGAGGGTCCCTCAAGTATCCAATTCGGGATTTGCACCTCCGGCAACCCAGCAGCGCTCAGAAAATGTGGCACGTCATTCTACCATCTTATGTAGTGCCACGTGTTGCTGATCTGTGCCTGAAGACTGAAGGGAAACCCCCATCGATAAGGGATCCGCCGCTCCTGCAGCAGACGGGTAAGCGGCCTCAGGGCTCGCCGGGTGTGCAGGGTAAGCGATGAGAGGTCCTGATAGAGAGAGACCTGTGCATCCATGTACATAATCCGCGGCTGCGCAGACCACGTCTCTGGGCAGTCCGTCCCTCCTGGGTGCTCACAATGCCCTGTGGGCTCTTTCTATGCCGAAATCGGGAGGGTAACTATCCCCCAACAATTGGGCGAAGAGGCCTATTAGCAGCTCCTGGGGCACCTCTCCATCCACCTCCGGCAGGCCCCGAACCCTAATATTGTTCCGCCGGCCCTGGTTGTCTAAGTCCTCAATTTGCCGGCGGAGGTCCAACAAGATGTTCCCCTGCCTCGTGGTGGCGATGTCCGCAGCCTGTTGATGGTGATCAGCTTGCAGGCGGCCCATTTCAAGTCCATCCATACGCTGCTCCAGGGCATTAAGGTATGTCCGCAGCACTGCCACCTCTTCCTTGATAATGGCGCACAGCTTGGACACCATGTCTGCCTTGTTCCTGCGCATGAACATAGTGGCAGAGATCTGAGCTATGTCTGCCGCTAGTTGGGCCAGGGTTCCTGCCGCTGGGGAGCCCCCGCCCGACATCACAGCACTCGAACCGGGTGAGACAGGGCCCGGGGTGTTCAACTCCTCACTGTCGGGGAGGCCTCGTTACGTCGCCAGAAACCCATCCATCGGACCGGGTGGGTATTGGGTCGAAATCGGGCCTGGGTGACCCTGGGTCGCTATTCTCTTGGTCTTCCCCATGCTTGTAGTGAAAGCCGCTGAATTTTGTGCTTTTGATAAGGGCTGAGCAGGTTGGGGCCTAGGAGCCCAGTCGAAGTGCGACCTACTCCATTAACGTTCAGGTCACGCCCCACCAACATTTGATTTTTGTATGCTTATCATGGTATCTAAGATATTTTTAATCATTAATCATATACAACCTAGACGATAGTCTACTAATAAATTAACAATATGAAGTATGAGAAAGTTTTAGAGTTCACGTATTGGAAAATGAACAAAATAAAATTAAAATGGAATCATGCAAATGTGAGCTTTTTAATAGTATCATTAAGTACTTATCCAGGAGCTAAAATGCACAACCTTTGGCAGTAGAGTGTTGCAGTTAGTCAAATGGTAAAATATACTGTAGGTTTTGGTACTGGTCAAGGACAAAAAAAAGTTGTCTGGAACAAATGTCTAATTTGCATTATCAGTATAATATTGTTGCCTCCTGAGAAATCAAAATCTCTGCCTTTAGTCCAAGAATAGGTTAGCTATTCCTGTACTGTTCAGTGTGCATCATTTTGAATAAACACATTTTTATTTTCTAGTTCCTGCTGCAGTTGAGAACTTAAACATAGTGAATAGAACAACCACATCTGTATTCCTGAGCTGGCTAACCCCTGAAGGCAACAGAAGCTCATATGCGTTAGAAGTTTCAGGCACTCCTTCGAAGAATCTAAACCTAAGTTCTTTGGACACATTTGCCCTTGTGGATGGTCTAGTACCAGGAAATTTCTATATATTCACAATCTATGCCAAAGATGGAAATGGTTTAACAGGGAATACGACTCTGACTTTTTCATATACAGGTACTTTTAAAACGCATCAGGATTTAATTATTAGGACAAATAAAAATACAATACATATTAATTGCATAATTGATATTTGAAAATTAATTGGTGATAAAATCTTTTTATCCTGGAAAGTTAGAAATTAATTTTGGATTTTAACTTAAGTAAACAGATATATAATGGTAAACGTGATTGAGAGACTAAATAGACATAGGTTAACTTTATAGTTTAGATAATATTGTTTTTTAATGTCAACTGCCTGTACTTAGGTTTTGCTATTTGAATAAATAAAACAAATTCAGAAAACTTACATTTGTTCGAACTGAATTTTTCTAAGTTGTCTTTTATATCTTCTGTTGAATGTTTTGAAGATATTTAATGGGATATTAGACCGATAGAAGATAAAATGAATGTAAACATTTGATTTTTGTATGCTGATCATTGTATCTAAGATATTTTAAATCATTAATCATATACAACCTAGACGATAGTCTACTAATAAATTAACAATATGAAGTATGAGAAAGTTTTAGAGTTCACGTATTGGAAAATGAACATAATAAAATTAAAATGGAATCATGCAAATGTGAGCTTTTTAATAGTATCATTAAGTACTTATCCAGGAGCTAAAATGCACAACCTTTGGCAGTAGAGTGTTGCAGTTAGTCAAATGGTAAAATATACTGTAGGTTTTGGTACTGGTCAAGGACAAAAAAAAGTTGTCTGGAACAAATGTCTAATTTGCATTATCAGTATAATATTGTTGCCTCCTGAGAAATCAAAATCTCTGCCTTTAGTCCAAGAATAGGTTAGCTATTCCTGTACTGTTCAGTGTGCATCATTTTGAATAAACACATTTTTATTTTCTAGTTCCTGCTGCAGTTGAGAACTTAAACATAGTGAATAGAACAACCACATCTGTATTCCTGAGCTGGCTAACCCCTGAAGGCAACAGAAGCTCATATGCGTTAGAAGTTTCAGGCACTCCTTCGAAGAATCTAAACCTAAGTTCTTTGGACACATTTGCCCTTGTGGATGGTCTAGTACCAGGAAATTTCTATATATTCACAATCTATGCCAAAGATGGAAATGGTTTAACAGGGAATACGAATCTGACTTTTTCATATACAGGTACTTTTAAAACGCATCAGGATTTAATTATTAGGACAAATAAAAATACAATACATATTAATTGCATAATTGATATTTGAAAATTAATTGGTGATAAAATCTTTTTATCCTGGAAAGTTAGAAATTAATTTTGGATTTTAACTTAAGTAAACAAATATATAATGGTAAACGTGATTGAGAGACTAAATAGACATAGGTTAACTTTATAGTTTAGATAATATTGTTTTTTAATGTCAACTGCCTGTACTTAGGTTTTGCTATTTGAATAAATAAAACAAATTCAGAAAACTTACATTTGTTCAAACTGAATTTTTCTAAGTTGTCTTTTATATCTTCTGTTGAATGTTTTGAAGATATTTAATGGGATATTAGACTGATAGAAGATAAAATGAATGTAAACATTTGATTTTTGTATGCTGATCATGGTATCTAAGATATTTTAAATCATTAATCATATACAACCTAGAAGATAGTCTACTAATAAATTAACAATATGAAGTATGAGAAAGTTTTAGAGTTCACGTATTGGAAAATGAACATAATAAAATTAAAATGGAATCATGCAAATGTGAGATTTTTAATAGTATCATTAAGTACTTATCCAGGAGCTAAAAGGCAAAACCTTTGGCAGTAGAGTGTTGCAGTTAGTCAAATGGTAAAATATACTGTAGGTTTTGGTACTGGTCATGGACAAAAAAAAGTTGTCTGGAACAAATGTCTAATTTGCATTATCAGTATAATATTGTTGCCTCCTGAGAAATCAAAATCTCTGCCTTTAGTCCAAGAATAGGTTAGCTATTCCTGTACTGTTCAGTGTGCATCATTTTGAATAAACACATTTTTATTTTCTAGTTCCTGCTGCAGTTGAGAACTTAAACATAGTGAATAGAACAACCACATCTGTATTCCTGAGCTGGCTAACCCCTGAAGGCAACAGAAGCTCATATGCGTTAGAAGTTTCAGGCACTCCTTCGAAGAATCTAAACCTAAGTTCTTTGGACACATTTGCCCTTGTGGATGGTCTAGTACCAGGAAATTTCTATATATTCACAATCTATGCCAAAGATGGAAATGGTTTAACAGGGAATACGACTCTGACTTTTTCATATACAGGTACTTTTAAAACGCATCAGGATTTAATTATTAGGACAAATAAAAATACAATACATATTAATTGCATAATTGATATTTGAAAATTAATTGGTGATAAAATCTTTTTATCCTGGAAAGTTAGAAATTAATTTTGGATTTTAACTTAAGTAAACAAATATATAATGGTAAACGTGATTGAGAGACTAAATAGACATAGGTTAACTTTATAGTTTAGATAATATTGTTTTTTAATGTCAACTGCCTGTACTTAGGTTTTGCTATTTGAATAAATAAAACAAATTCAGAAAACTTACATTTGTTCAAACTGAATTTTTCTAAGTTGTCTTTTATATCTTCTGTTGAATGTTTTGAAGATATTTAATGGGATATTAGACAGATAGAAGATAAAATGAATGTAAACATTTGATTTTTGTACGCTGATCATGGTATCTAAGATATTTTAAATCATTAATCATATACAACCTAGACGATAGTCTACTAATAAATTAGCAATATGAGTATGAGAAAGTTTTAGAGTTCATGTCTTGGAAAATGAACATAATAAAATCAAAATGGAATCATGCAAATGTGAGCTTTTTAATAGTATCATTAAGTACTTATCCAGGAGCTAACATGCACAACCTTTGGCAGTAGAGTGTTGCAGTTAGTCAAATGGTAAAATATACTGTAGGTTTTGGTACTGGCCAAGGACAAAAAAAAGTTGTCTGGAACAAATGTCTAATTTGCATTATCAGTATAATATTGTTGCCTCCTGAGAAATCAAAATCTCTGCCTTTAGTCCAAGAATAGGTTAGCTATTCCTGTACTGTTCAGTGTGCATCATTTTGAATAAACACATTTTTATTTTCTAGTTCCTGCTGCAGTTGAGAACTTAAACATAGTGAATAGAACAACCACATCTGTATTCCTGAGCTGGCTAACCCCTGAAGGCAACAGAAGCTCATATGCGTTAGAAGTTTCAGGCACTCCTTCGAAGAATCTAAACCTAAGTTCTTTGGACACATTTGCCCTTGTGGATGGTCTAGTACCAGGAAATTTCTATATATTCACAATCTATGCCAAAGATGGAAATGGTTTAACAGGGAATACGACTCTGACTTTTTCATATACAGGTACTTTTAAAACGCATCAGGATTTAATTATTAGGACAAATAAAAATACAATACATATTAATTGCATAATTGATATTTGAAAATTAATTGGTGATAAAATCTTTTTATCCTGGAAAGTTAGAAATTAATTTTGGATTTTAACTTAAGTAAACAGATATATAATGGTAAACGTGATTGAGAGACTAAATAGACATAGGTTAACTTTATAGTTTAGATAATATTGTTTTTTAATGTCAACTGCCTGTACTTAGGTTTTGCTATTTGAATAAATAAAACAAATTCAGAAAACTTACATTTGTTCGAACTGAATTTTTCTAAGTTGTCTTTTATATCTTCTGTTGAATGTTTTGAAGATATTTAATGGGATATTAGACCGATAGAAGATAAAATGAATGTAAACATTTGATTTTTGTATGCTGATCATTGTATCTAAGATATTTTAAATCATTAATCATATACAACCTAGACGATAGTCTACTAATAAATTAACAATATGAAGTATGAGAAAGTTTTAGAGTTCACGTATTGGAAAATGAACATAATAAAATTAAAATGGAATCATGCAAATGTGAGCTTTTTAATAGTATCATTAAGTACTTATCCAGGAGCTAAAATGCACAACCTTTGGCAGTAGAGTGTTGCAGTTAGTCAAATGGTAAAATATACTGTAGGTTTTGGTACTGGTCAAGGACAAAAAAAAGTTGTCTGGAACAAATGTCTAATTTGCATTATCAGTATAATATTGTTGCCTCCTGAGAAATCAAAATCTCTGCCTTTAGTCCAAGAATAGGTTAGCTATTCCTGTACTGTTCAGTGTGCATCATTTTGAATAAACACATTTTTATTTTCTAGTTCCTGCTGCAGTTGAGAACTTAAACATAGTGAATAGAACAACCACATCTGTATTCCTGAGCTGGCTAACCCCTGAAGGCAACAGAAGCTCATATGCGTTAGAAGTTTCAGGCACTCCTTCGAAGAATCTAAACCTAAGTTCTTTGGACACATTTGCCCTTGTGGATGGTCTAGTACCAGGAAATTTCTATATATTCACAATCTATGCCAAAGATGGAAATGGTTTAACAGGGAATACGACTCTGACTTTTTCATATACAGGTACTTTTAAAACGCATCAGGATTTAATTATTAGGACAAATAAAAATACAATACATATTAATTGCATAATTGATATTTGAAAATTAATTGGTGATAAAATCTTTTTATCCTGGAAAGTTAGAAATTAATTTTGGATTTTAACTTAAGTAAACAGATATATAATGGTAAACGTGATTGAGAGACTAAATAGACATAGGTTAACTTTATAGTTTAGATAATATTGTTTTTTAATGTCAACTGCCTGTACTTAGGTTTTGCTATTTGAATAAATAAAACAAATTCAGAAAACTTACATTTGTTCGAACTGAATTTTTCTAAGTTGTCTTTTATATCTTCTGTTGAATGTTTTGAAGATATTTAATGGGATATTAGACCGTTAGAAGATAAAATGAATGTAAACATTTGATTTTTGTATGCTGATCATGGTATCTAAGATATTTTAAATCATTAATCATATACAACCTAGACGATAGTCTACTAATAAATTAACAATATGAAGTATGAGAAAGTTTTAGAGTTCACGTATTGGAAAATGAACATAATAAAATTAAAATGGAATCATGCAAATGTGAGCTTTTTAATAGTATCATTAAGTACTTATCCAGGAGCTAAAATGCACAACCTTTGGCAGTAGAGTGTTGCAGTTAGTCAAATGGTAAAATATACTGTAGGTTTTGGTACTGGTCATGGACAAAAAAAAAAAAAGTTGTCTGGAACAAATGTCTAATTTGCATTATCAGTATAATATTGTTGCCTCCTGAGAAATCAAAATCTCTGCCTTTAGTCCAAGAATAGGTTAGCTATTCCTGTACTGTTCAGTGTGCATCATTTTGAATAAACACATTTTTATTTTCTAGTTCCTGCTGCAGTTGAGAACTTAAACATAGTGAATAGAACAACCACATCTGTATTCCTGAGCTGGCTAACCCCTGAAGGCAACAGAAGCTCATATGCGTTAGAAGTTTCAGGCACTCCTTCGAAGAATCTAAACCTAAGTTCTTTGGACACATTTGCCCTTGTGGATGGTCTAGTACCAGGAAATTTCTATATATTCACAATCTATGCCAAAGATGGAAATGGTTTAACAGGGAATACGACTCTGACTTTTTCATATACAGGTACTTTTAAAACGCATCAGGATTTAATTATTAGGACAAATAAAAATACAATACATATTAATTGCATAATTGATATTTGAAAATTAATTGGTGATAAAATCTTTTTATCCTGGAAAGTTAGAAATTAATTTTGGATTTTAACTTAAGTAAACAAATATATAATGGTAAACGTGATTGAGAGACTAAATAGACATAGGTTAACTTTATAGTTTAGATAATATTGTTTTTTAATGTCAACTGCCTGTACTTAGGTTTTGCTATTTGAATAAATAAAACAAATTCAGAAAACTTACATTTGTTCAAACTGAATTTTTCTAAGTTGTCTTTTATATCTTCTGTTGAATGTTTTGAAGATATTTAATGGGATATTAGACTGATAGAAGATAAAATGAATGTAAACATTTGATTTTTGTATGCTGATCATGGTATCTAAGATATTTTAAATCATTAATCATATACAACCTAGACGATAGTCTACTAATAAATTAACAATATGAAGTATGAGAAAGTTTTAGAGTTCACGTATTGGAAAATGAACATAATAAAATTAAAATGGAATCATGCAAATGTGAGATTTTTAATAGTATCATTAAGTACTTATCCAGGAGCTAAAAGGCAAAACCTTTGGCAGTAGAGTGTTGCAGTTAGTCAAATGGTAAAATATACTGTAGGTTTTGGTACTGGTCATGGACAAAAAAAAAAAAGTTGTCTGGAACAAATGTCTAATTTGCATTATCAGTATAATATTGTTGCCTCCTGAGAAATCAAAATCTCTGCCTTTAGTCCAAGAATAGGTTAGCTATTCCTGTACTGTTCAGTGTGCATCATTTTGAATAAACACATTTTTATTTTCTAGTTCCTGCTGCAGTTGAGAACTTAAACATAGTGAATAGAACAACCACATCTGTATTCCTGAGCTGGCTAACCCCTGAAGGCAACAGAAGCTCATATGCGTTAGAAGTTTCAGGCACTCCTTCGAAGAATCTAAACCTAAGTTCTTTGGACACATTTGCCCTTGTGGATGGTCTAGTACCAGGAAATTTCTATATATTCACAATCTATGCCAAAGATGGAAATGGTTTAACAGGGAATACGACTCTGACTTTTTCATATACAGGTACTTTTAAAACGCATCAGGATTTAATTATTAGGACAAATAAAAATACAATACATATTAATTGCATAATTGATATTTGAAAATTAATTGGTGATAAAATCTTTTTATCCTGGAAAGTTAGAAATTAATTTTGGATTTTAACTTAAGTAAACAGATATATAATGGTAAACGTGATTGAGAGACTAAATAGACATAGGTTAACTTTATAGTTTAGATAATATTGTTTTTTAATGTCAACTGCCTGTACTTAGGTTTTGCTATTTGAATAAATAAAACAAATTCAGAAAACTTACATTTGTTCAAACTGAATTTTTCTAAGTTGTCTTTTATATCTTCTGTTGAATGTTTTGAAGATATTTAATGGGATATTAGACCGATAGAAGATAAAATGAATGTAAACATTTGATTTTTGTACGCTGATCATGGTATCTAAGATATTTTAAATCATTAATCATATACAACCTAGACGATAGTCTACTAATAAATTAGCAATATGAGTATGAGAAAGTTTTAGAGTTCATGTCTTGGAAAATGAACATAATAAAATCAAAATGGAATCATGCAAATGTGAGCTTTTTAATAGTATCATTAAGTACTTATCCAGGAGCTAACATGCACAACCTTTGGCAGTAGAGTGTTGCAGTTAGTCAAATGGTAAAATATACTGTAGGTTTTGGTACTGGCCAAGGACAAAAAAAAGTTGTCTGGAACAAATGTCTAATTTGCATTATCAGTATAATATTGTTGCCTCCTGAGAAATCAAAATCTCTGCCTTTAGTCCAAGAATAGGTTAGCTATTCCTGTACTGTTCAGTGTGCATCATTTTGAATAAACACATTTTTATTTTCTAGTTCCTGCTGCAGTTGAGAACTTAAACATAGTGAATAGAACAACCACATCTGTATTCCTGAGCTGGCTAACCCCTGAAGGCAACAGAAGCTCATATGCGTTAGAAGTTTCAGGCACTCCTTCGAAGAATCTAAACCTAAGTTCTTTGGACACATTTGCCCTTGTGGATGGTCTAGTACCAGGAAATTTCTATATATTCACAATCTATGCCAAAGATGGAAATGGTTTAACAGGGAATACGACTCTGACTTTTTCATATACAGGTACTTTTAAAACGCATCAGGATTTAATTATTAGGACAAATAAAAATACAATACATATTAATTGCATAATTGATATTTGAAAATTAATTGGTGATAAAATCTTTTTATCCTGGAAAGTTAGAAATTAATTTTGGATTTTAACTTAAGTAAACAAATATATAATGGTAAACGTGATTGAGAGACTAAATAGACATAGGTTAACTTTATAGTTTAGATAATATTGTTTTTTAATGTCAACTGCCTGTACTTAGGTTTTGCTATTTGAATAAATAAAACAAATTCAGAAAACTTACATTTGTTCAAACTGAATTTTTCTAAGTTGTCTTTTATATCTTCTGTTGAATGTTTTGAAGATATTTAATGGGATATTAGACTGATAGAAGATAAAATGAATGTAAACATTTGATTTTTGTATGCTGATCATGGTATCTAAGATATTTTAAATCATTAATCATATACAACCTAGAAGATAGTCTACTAATAAATTAACAATATGAAGTATGAGAAAGTTTTAGAGTTCACGTATTGGAAAATGAACATAATAAAATTAAAATGGAATCATGCAAATGTGAGATTTTTAATAGTATCATTAAGTAATTATCCAGGAGCTAAAAGGCAAAACCTTTGGCAGTAGAGTGTTGCAGTTAGTCAAATGGTAAAATATACTGTAGGTTTTGGTACTGGTCATGGACAAAAAAAAAAAAGTTGTCTGGAACAAATGTCTAATTTGCATTATCAGTATAATATTGTTGCCTCCTGAGAAATCAAAATCTCTGCCTTTAGTCCAAGAATAGGTTAGCTATTCCTGTACTGTTCAGTGTGCATCATTTTGAATAAACACATTTTTATTTTCTAGTTCCTGCTGCAGTTGAGAACTTAAACATAGTGAATAGAACAACCACATCTGTATTCCTGAGCTGGCTAACCCCTGAAGGCAACAGAAGCTCATATGCGTTAGAAGTTTCAGGCACTCCTTCGAAGAATCTAAACCTAAGTTCTTTGGACACATTTGCCCTTGTGGATGGTCTAGTACCAGGAAATTTCTATATATTCACAATCTATGCCAAAGATGGAAATGGTTTAACAGGGAATACGACTCTGACTTTTTCATATACAGGTACTTTTAAAACGCATCAGGATTTAATTATTAGGACAAATAAAAATACAATACATATTAATTGCATAATTGATATTTGAAAATTAATTGGTGATAAAATCTTTTTATCCTGGAAAGTTAGAAATTAATTTTGGATTTTAACTTAAGTAAACAGATATATAATGGTAAACGTGATTGAGAGACTAAATAGACATAGGTTAACTTTATAGTTTAGATAATATTGTTTTTTAATGTCAACTGCCTGTACTTAGGTTTTGCTATTTGAATAAATAAAACAAATTCAGAAAACTTACATTTGTTCGAACTGAATTTTTCTAAGTTGTCTTTTATATCTTCTGTTGAATGTTTTGAAGATATTTAATGGGATATTAGACCGATAGAAGATAAAATGAATGTAAACATTTGATTTTTGTATGCTGATCATTGTATCTAAGATATTTTAAATCATTAATCATATACAACCTAGACGATAGTCTACTAATAAATTAACAATATGAAGTATGAGAAAGTTTTAGAGTTCACTTATTGGAAAATGAACATAATAAAATTAAAATGGAATCATGCAAATGTGAGCTTTTTAATAGTATCATTAAGTACTTATCCAGGAGCTAAAATGCACAACCTTTGGCAGTAGAGTGTTGCAGTTAGTCAAATGGTAAAATATACTGTAGGTTTTGGTACTGGCCAAGGACAAAAAAAAGTTGTCTGGAACAAATGTCTAATTTGCATTATCAGTATAATATTGTTGCCTCCTGAGAAATCTAAATCTCTGCCTTTAGTCCAAGAATAGGTTAGCTATTCCTGTACTGTTCAGTGTGCATCATTTTGAATAAACACATTTTTATTTTCTAGTTCCTACTGCAGTTGAGAACTTAAACATAGTGAATAGAACAACCACATCTGTATTCCTGAGCTGGCTAACCCCTGAAGGCAACAGAAGCTCATATGCGTTAGAAGTTTCAGGCACTCCTTCGAAGAATCTAAACCTAAGTTCTTTGGACACATTTGCCCTTGTGGATGGTCTAGTACCAGGAAATTTCTATATATTCACAATCTATGCCAAAGATGGAAATGGTTTAACAGGGAATACGACTCTGACTTTTTCATATGCAGGTACTTTTAAAACGCATCAGGATTTAATTATTAGGACAAATAAAAATACAATACATATTAATTGCATAATTGATATTTGAAAATTAATTGGTGATAAAATCTTTTTATCCTGGAAAGTTAGAAATTAATTTTGGATTTTAACTTAAGTAAACAGATATATAATGGTAAACGTGATTGAGAGACTAAACAGACATAGGTTAACTTTATAGTTTAGATAATATTGTTTTTTAATGTCAACTGTCTGTACTTAGGTTTTGCTATTTGAATAAATAAAACAAATTCAGAAAACTTACATTTGTTCGAACTGAATTTTTCTAAGTTGTCTTTTATATCTTCTGTTGAATGTTTTGAAGATATTTAATGGGATATTAGACCGATAGAAGATAAAATGAATGTAAACATTTGATTTTTGTATGCTGATCATGGTATCTAAGATATTTTAAATCATTAATCATATACAACCTAGACGATAGTCTACTAATAAATTAACAATATGAAGTATGAGAAAGTTTTAGAGTTCACGTATTGGAAAATGAACATAATAAAATTAAAATGGAATCATGCAAATGTGAGCTTTTTAATAGTATCATTAAGTACTTATCCAGGAGCTTAAATGCACAACCTTTGGCAGTAGAGTGTTGCAGTTAGTCAAATGGTAAAATATACTGTAGGTTTTGGTACTGGTCATGGACAAAAAAAAGTTGTCTGGAACAAATGTCTAATTTGCATTATCAGTATAATATTGTTGCCTCCTGAGAAATCAAAATCTCTGCCTTTAGTCCAAGAATAGGTTAGCTATTCCTGTACTGTTCAGTGTGCATCATTTTGAATAAACACATTTTTATTTTCTAGTTCCTGCTGCAGTTGAGAACTTAAACATAGTGAATAGAACAACCACATCTGTATTCCTGAGCTGGCTAACCCCTGAAGGCAACAGAAGCTCATATGCGTTAGAAGTTTCAGGCACTCCTTCGAAGAATCTAAACCTAAGTTCTTTGGACACATTTGCCCTTGTGGATGGTCTAGTACCAGGAAATTTCTATATATTCACAATCTATGCCAAAGATGGAAATGGTTTAACAGGGAATACGACTCTGACTTTTTCATATACAGGTACTTTTAAAACGCATCAGGATTTAATTATTAGGACAAATAAAAATACAATACATATTAATTGCATAATTGATATTTGAAAATTAATTGGTGATAAAATCTTTTTATCCTGGAAAGTTAGAAATTAATTTTGGATTTTAACTTAAGTAAACAGATATATAATGGTAAACGTGATTGAGAGACTAAATAGACATAGGTTAACTTTATAGTTTAGATAATATTGTTTTTTAATGTCAACTGCCTGTACTTAGGTTTTGCTATTTGAATAAATAAAACAAATTCAGAAAACTTACATTTGTTCGAACTGAATTTTTCTAAGTTGTCTTTTATATCTTCTGTTGAATGTTTTGAAGATATTTAATGGGATATTAGACCGATAGAAGATAAAATGAATGTAAACATTTGATTTTTGTATGCTGATCATTGTATCTAAGATATTTTAAATCATTAATCATATACAACCTAGACGATAGTCTACTAATAAATTAACAATATGAAGTATGAGAAAGTTTTAGAGTTCACGTATTGGAAAATGAACATAATAAAATTAAAATGGAATCATGCAAATGTGAGCTTTTTAATAGTATCATTAAGTACTTATCCAGGAGCTAAAATGCACAACCTTTGGCAGTAGAGTGTTGCAGTTAGTCAAATGGTAAAATATACTGTAGGTTTTGGTACTGGTCAAGGACAAAAAAAAGTTGTCTGGAACAAATGTCTAATTTGCATTATCAGTATAATATTGTTGCCTCCTGAGAAATCAAAATCTCTGCCTTTAGTCCAAGAATAGGTTAGCTATTCCTGTACTGTTCAGTGTGCATCATTTTGAATAAACACATTTTTATTTTCTAGTTCCTGCTGCAGTTGAGAACTTAAACATAGTGAATAGAACAACCACATCTGTATTCCTGAGCTGGCTAACCCCTGAAGGCAACAGAAGCTCATATGCGTTAGAAGTTTCAGGCACTCCTTCGAAGAATCTAAACCTAAGTTCTTTGGACACATTTGCCCTTGTGGATGGTCTAGTACCAGGAAATTTCTATATATTCACAATCTATGCCAAAGATGGAAATGGTTTAACAGGGAATACGACTCTGACTTTTTCATATACAGGTACTTTTAAAACGCATCAGGATTTAATTATTAGGACAAATAAAAATACAATACATATTAATTGCATAATTGATATTTGAAAATTAATTGGTGATAAAATCTTTTTATCCTGGAAAGTTAGAAATTAATTTTGGATTTTAACTTAAGTAAACAAATATATAATGGTAAACGTGATTGAGAGACTAAATAGACATAGGTTAACTTTATAGTTTAGATAATATTGTTTTTTAATGTCAACTGCCTGTACTTAGGTTTTGCTATTTGAATAAATAAAACAAATTTAGAAAACTTACATTTGTTCAAACTGAATTTTTCTAAGTTGTCTTTTATATCTTCTGTTGAATGTTTTGAAGATATTTAATGGGATATTAGACAGATAGAAGATAAAATGAATGTAAACATTTGATTTTTGTACGCTGATCATGGTATCTAAGATATTTTAAATCATTAATCATATACAACCTAGACGATAGTCTACTAATAAATTAGCAATATGAGTATGAGAAAGTTTTAGAGTTCATGTCTTGGAAAATGAACATAATAAAATCAAAATGGAATCATGCAAATGTGAGCTTTTTAATAGTATCATTAAGTACTTATCCAGGAGCTAACATGCACAACCTTTGGCAGTAGAGTGTTGCAGTTAGTCAAATGGTAAAATATACTGTAGGTTTTGGTACTGGCCAAGGACAAAAAAAAGTTGTCTGGAACAAATGTCTAATTTGCATTATCAGTATAATATTGTTGCCTCCTGAGAAATCAAAATCTCTGCCTTTAGTCCAAGAATAGGTTAGCTATTCCTGTAATGTTCAGTGTGCATCATTTTGAATAAACACATTTTTATTTTCTAGTTCCTGCTGCAGTTGAGCACTTAAACATAGTGAATAGAACAACCACATCTGTATTCCTGAGCTGGCTAACCCCTGAAGGCAACAGAAGCTCATATGCGTTAGAAGTTTCAGGCACTCCTTCGAAGAATCTAAACCTAAGTTCTTTGGACACATTTGCCCTTGTGGATGGTCTAGTACCAGGAAATTTCTATATATTCACAATCTATGCCAAAGATGGAAATGGTTTAACAGGGAATACGACTCTGACTTTTTCATATACAGGTACTTTTAAAACGCATCAGGATTTAATTATTAGGACAAATAAAAATACAATACATATTAATTGCATAACTGATATTTGAAAATTAATTGGTGATAAAATCTTTTTATCCTGGAAAGTTAGAAATTAATTTTGGATTTTAACTTAAGTAAACAGATATATAATGGTAAACGTGATTGAGAGACTAAATAGACATAGTTTAACTTTATAGTTTAGATAATATTGTTTTTTAATGTCAACTGCCTGTACTTAGGTTTTGCTATTTGAATAAATAAAACAAATTCAGAAAACTTACATTTGTTCGAACTGAATTTTTCTAATTTGTCTTTTATATCTTCTGTTGAATGTTTTGAAGATATTTAATGGGATATTAGACCGATAGAAGATAAAATGAATGTAAACATTTGATTTTTGTATGCTGATCATTGTATCTAAGATATTTTAAATCATTAATCATATACAACCTAGACTATAGTCTACTAATAAATTAACAATATGAAGTATGAGAAAGTTTTAGAGTTCACGTATTGGAAAATGAACATAATAAAATTAAAATGGAATCATGCAAATGTGAGCTTTTTAATAGTATCATTAAGTACTTATCCAGGAGCTAAAATGCACAACCTTTGGCAGTAGAGTGTTGCAGTTAGTCAAATGGTAAAATATACTGTAGGTTTTGGTACTGGTCAAGGACAAAAAAAAGTTGTCTGGAACAAATGTCTAATTTGCATTATCAGTATAATATTGTTGCCTCCTGAGAAATCAAAATCTCTGCCTTTAGTCCAAGAATAGGTTAGCTATTCCTGTACTGTTCAGTGTGCATCATTTTGAATAAACACATTTTTATTTTCTAGTTCCTGCTGCAGTTGAGAACTTAAACATAGTGAATAGAACAACCACATCTGTATTCCTGAGCTGGCTAACCCCTGAAGGCAACAGAAGCTCATATGCGTTAGAAGTTTCAGGCACTCCTTCGAAGAATCTAAACCTAAGTTCTTTGGACACATTTGCCCTTGTGGATGGTCTAGTACCAGGAAATTTCTATATATTCACAATCTATGCCAAAGATGGAAATGGTTTAACAGGGAATACGACTCTGACTTTTTCATATACAGGTACTTTTAAAACGCATCAGGATTTAATTATTAGGACAAATAAAAATACAATACATATTAATTGCATAATTGATATTTGAAAATTAATTGGTGATAAAATCTTTTTATCCTGGAAAGTTAGAAATTAATTTTGGATTTTAACTTAAGTAAACAGATATATAATGGTAAACGTGATTGAGAGACTAAATAGACATAGGTTAACTTTATAGTTTAGATAATATTGTTTTTTAATGTCAACTGCCTGTACTTAGGTTTTGCTATTTGAATAAATAAAACAAATTCAGAAAACTTACATTTGTTCGAACTGAATTTTTCTAAGTTGTCTTTTATATCTTCTGTTGAATGTTTTGAAGATATTTAATGGGATATTAGACCGATAGAAGATAAAATGAATGTAAACATTTGATTTTTGTATGCTGATCATGGTATCTAAGATATTTTAAATCATTAATCATATACAACCTAGACGATAGTCTACTAATAAATTAACAATATGAAGTATGAGAAAGTTTTAGAGTTCACGTATTGGAAAATGAACATAATAAAATTAAAATGGAATCATGCAAATGTGAGCTTTTTAATAGTATCATTAAGTACTTATCCAGGAGCTAAAATGCACAACCTTTGGCAGTAGAGTGTTGCAGTTAGTCAAATGGTAAAATATACTGTAGGTTTTGGTACTGGTCAAGGACAAAAAAAAGTTGTCTGGAACAAATGTCTAATTTGCATTATCAGTATAATATTGTTGCCTCCTGAGAAATCAAAATCTCTGCCTTTAGTCCAAGAATAGGTTAGCTATTCCTGTACTGTTCAGTGTGCATCATTTTGAATAAACACATTTTTATTTTCTAGTTCCTGCTGCAGTTGAGAACTTAAACATAGTGAATAGAACAACCACATCTGTATTCCTGAGCTGGCTAACCCCTGAAGGCAACAGAAGCTCATATGCGTTAGAAGTTTCAGGCACTCCTTCGAAGAATCTAAACCTAAGTTCTTTGGACACATTTGCCCTTGTGGATGGTCTAGTACCAGGAAATTTCTATATATTCACAATCTATGCCAAAGATGGAAATGGTTTAACAGGGAATACGACTCTGACTTTTTCATATACAGGTACTTTTAAAACGCATCAGGATTTAATTATTAGGACAAATAAAAATACAATACATATTAATTGCATAATTGATATTTGAAAATTAATTGGTGATAAAATCTTTTTATCCTGGAAAGTTAGAAATTAATTTTGGATTTTAACTTAAGTAAACAGATATATAATGGTAAACGTGATTGAGAGACTAAATAGACATAGGTTAACTTTATAGTTTAGATAATATTGTTTTTTAATGTCAACTGCCTGTACTTAGGTTTTGCTATTTGAATAAATAAAACAAATTCAGAAAACTTACATTTGTTCAAACTGAATTTTTCTAAGTTGTCTTTTATATCTTCTGTTGAATGTTTTGAAGATATTTAATGGGATATTAGACCGATAGAAGATAAAATGAATGTAAACATTTGATTTTTGTATGCTGATCATGGTATCTAAGATATTTTAAATCATTAATCATATACAACCTAGACGATAGTCTACTAATAAATTAGCAATATGAAGTATGAGAAAGTTTTAGAGTTCATGTCTTGGAAAATGAACATAATAAAATCAAAATGGAATCATGCAAATGTGAGATTTTTAATATTATCATTAAGTACTTATCCAGGAGCTAACATGCACAACCTTTGGCAGTAGAGTGTTGCAGTTAGTCAAATGGTAAAATATACTGTAGGGTTTGGTACTGGTCAAGGACAAAAAAAAGTTGTCTGGAACAAATGTCTAATTTGCATTATCAGTATAATATTGTTGCCTCCTGAGAAATCAAAATCTCTGCCTTTAGTCCAAGAATAGGTTAGCTATTCCTGTAATGTTCAGTGTGCATCATTTTGAGTAAACACATTTTTATTTTCTAGTTCCTGCTGCAGTTGAGAACTTAAACATAGTGAATAGAACAACCACATCTGTATTCCTGAGCTGGCTAACCCCTGAAGGCAACAGAAGCTCATATGCGTTAGAAGTTTCAGGCACTCCTTCGAAGAATCTAAACCTAAGTTCTTTGGACACATTTGCCCTTGTGGATGGTCTAGTACCAGGAAATTTCTATATATTCACAATCTATGCCAAAGATGGAAATGGTTTAACAGGGAATACGACTCTGACTTTTTCATATACAGGTACTTTTAAAACGCATCAGGATTTAATTATTAGGACAAATAAAAATACAATACATATTAATTGCATAATTGATATTTGAAAATTAATTGGTGATAAAATCTTTTTATCCTGGAAAGTTAGAAATTAATTTTGGATTTTAACTTAAGTAAACAGATATATAATGGTAAACGTGATTGAGAGACTAAATAGACATAGGTTAACTTTATAGTTTAGATAATATTGTTTTTTAATGTCAACTGCCTGTACTTAGGTTTTGCTATTTGAATAAATAAAACAAATTCAGAAAACTTACATTTGTTCGAACTGAATTTTTCTAAGTTGTCTTTTATATCTTCTGTTGAATGTTTTGAAGATATTTAATGGGATATTAGACCGATAGAAGATAAAATGAATGTAAACATTTGATTTTTGTACGCTGATCATGGTATCTAAGATATTTTAAATCATTAATCATATACAACCTAGACGATAGTCTACTAATAAATTAGCAATATGAAGTATGAGAAAGTTTTAGAGTTCACTGTATTGGAAAATGAACATAATAAAATTAAAATGGAATCATGCAAATGTGAGCTTTTTAATAGTATCATTAAGTACTTATCCAGGAGCTAAAAGGCAAAACCTTTGGCAGTAGAGTGTTGCAGTTAGTCAAATGGTAAAATATACTGTAGGTTTTGGTACTGGTCCTGGACAAAAAAAAAAAAGTTGTCTGGAACAAATGTCTAATTTGCATTATCAGTATAATATTGTTGCCTCCTGAGAAATCAAAATCTCTGCCTTTAGTCCAAGAATAGGTTAGCTATTCCTGTACTGTTCAGTGTGCATCATTTTGAATAAACACATTTTTATTTTCTAGTTCCTGCTGCAGTTGAGAACTTAAACATAGTGAATAGAACAACCACATCTGTATTCCTGAGCTGGCTAACCCCTGAAGGCAACAGAAGCTCATATGCGTTAGATGTTTCAGGCACTCCTTCGAAGAATCTAAATCTAAGTTCTTTGGCCACATTTGCCCTTGTGGATGGTCTAGTACCAGGAAATTTCTATATATTCACAATCTATGCCAAAGATGGAAATGGTTTAACAGGGAATACGAATCTGACTTTTTCATATACAGGTACTTTTAAAACGCATCAGGATTTAATTATTAGGACAAATAAAAATACAATACATATTAATTGCATAATTGATATTTGAAAATTAATTGGTGATAAAATCTTTTTATCCTGGAAAGTTAGAAATTAATTTTGGATTTTAACTTAAGTAAACAAATATATAATGGTAAACGTGATTGAGAGACTAAATAGACATAGGTTAACTTTATAGTTTAGATAATATTGTTTTTTAATGTCAACTGCCTGTACTTAGGTTTTGCTATTTGAATAAATAAAACAAATTTAGAAAACTTACATTTGTTCAAACTGAATTTTTCTAAGTTGTCTTTTATATCTTCTGTTGAATGTTTTGAAGATATTTAATGGGATATTAGACAGATAGAAGATAAAATGAATGTAAACATTTGATTTTTGTACGCTGATCATGGTATCTAAGATATTTTAAATCATTAATCATATACAACCTAGACGATAGTCTACTAATAAATTAGCAATATGAGTATGAGAAAGTTTTAGAGTTCATGTCTTGGAAAATGAACATAATAAAATCAAAATGGAATCATGCAAATGTGAGCTTTTTAATAGTATCATTAAGTACTTATCCAGGAGCTAACATGCACAACCTTTGGCAGTAGAGTGTTGCAGTTAGTCAAATGGTAAAATATACTGTAGGTTTTGGTACTGGCCAAGGACAAAAAAAAGTTGTCTGGAACAAATGTCTAATTTGCATTATCAGTATAATATTGTTGCCTCCTGAGAAATCAAAATCTCTGCCTTTAGTCCAAGAATAGGTTAGCTATTCCTGTACTGTTCAGTGTGCATCATTTTGAATAAACACATTTTTATTTTCTAGTTCCTGCTGCAGTTGAGAACTTAAACATAGTGAATAGAACAACCACATCTGTATTCCTGAGCTGGCTAACCCCTGAAGGCAACAGAAGCTCATATGCGTTAGAAGTTTCAGGCACTCCTTCGAAGAATCTAAACCTAAGTTCTTTGGACACATTTGCCCTTGTGGATGGTCTAGTACCAGGAAATTTCTATATATTCACAATCTATGCCAAAGATGGAAATGGTTTAACAGGGAATACGACTCTGACTTTTTCATATACAGGTACTTTTAAAACGCATCAGGATTTAATTATTAGGACAAATAAAAATACAATACATATTAATTGCATAATTGATATTTGAAAATTAATTGGTGATAAAATCTTTTTATCCTGGAAAGTTAGAAATTAATTTTGGATTTTAACTTAAGTAAACAGATATATAATGGTAAACGTGATTGAGAGACTAAATAGACATAGGTTAACTTTATAGTTTAGATAATATTGTTTTTTAATGTCAACTGCCTGTACTTAGGTTTTGCTATTTGAATAAATAAAACAAATTCAGAAAACTTACATTTGTTCGAACTGAATTTTTCTAAGTTGTCTTTTATATCTTCTGTTGAATGTTTTGAAGATATTTAATGGGATATTAGACCGATAGAAGATAAAATGAATGTAAACATTTGATTTTTGTATGCTGATCATGGTATCTAAGATATTTTAAATCATTAATCATATACAACCTAGACGATAGTCTACTAATAAATTAGCAATATGAGTATGAGAAAGTTTTAGAGTTCATGTCTTGGAAAATGAACATAATAAAATCAAAATGGAATCATGCAAATGTGAGCTTTTTAATAGTATCATTAAGTACTTATCCAGGAGCTAACATGCACAACCTTTGGCAGTAGAGTGTTGCAGTTAGTCAAATGGTAAAATATACTGTAGGTTTTGGTACTGGCCAAGGACAAAAAAAAGTTGTCTGGAACAAATGTCTAATTTGCATTATCAGTATAATATTGTTGCCTCCTGAGAAATCAAAATCTCTGCCTTTAGTCCAAGAATAGGTTAGCTATTCCTGTACTGTTCAGTGTGCATCATTTTGAATAAACACATTTTTATTTTCTAGTTCCTGCTGCAGTTGAGAACTTAAACATAGTGAATAGAACAACCACATCTGTATTCCTGAGCTGGCTAACCCCTGAAGGCAACAGAAGCTCATATGCGTTAGAAGTTTCAGGCACTCCTTCGAAGAATCTAAACCTAAGTTCTTTGGACACATTTGCCCTTGTGGATGGTCTAGTACCAGGAAATTTCTATATATTCACAATCTATGCCAAAGATGGAAATGGTTTAACAGGGAATACGACTCTGACTTTTTCATATACAGGTACTTTTAAAACGCATCAGGATTTAATTATTAGGACAAATAAAAATACAATACATATTAATTGCATAATTGATATTTGAAAATTAATTGGTGATAAAATCTTTTTATCCTGGAAAGTTAGAAATTAATTTTGGATTTTAACTTAAGTAAACAGATATATAATGGTAAACGTGATTGAGAGACTAAATAGACATAGGTTAACTTTATAGTTTAGATAATATTGTTTTTTAATGTCAACTGCCTGTACTTAGGTTTTGCTATTTGAATAAATAAAACAAATTCAGAAAACTTACATTTGTTCAAACTGAATTTTTCTAAGTTGTCTTTTATATCTTCTGTTGAATGTTTTGAAGATATTTAATGGGATATTAGACCGATAGAAGATAAAATGAATGTAAACATTTGATTTTTGTATGCTGATCATGGTATCTAAGATATTTTAAATCATTAATCATATACAACCTAGACGATAGTCTACTAATAAATTAACAATATGAAGTATGAGAAAGTTTTAGAGTTCACGTATTGGAAAATGAACATAATAAAATTAAAATGGAATCATGCAAATGTGAGCTTTTTAATAGTATCATTAAGTACTTATCCAGGAGCTAAAATGCACAACCTTTGGCAGTAGAGTGTTGCAGTTAGTCAAATGGTAAAATATACTGTAGGTTTTGGTACTGGTCAAGGACAAAAAAAAGTTGTCTGGAACAAATGTCTAATTTGCATTATCAGTATAATATTGTTGCCTCCTGAGAAATCAAAATCTCTGCCTTTAGTCCAAGAATAGGTTAGCTATTCCTGTACTGTTCAGTGTGCATCATTTTGAATAAACACATTTTTATTTTCTAGTTCCTACTGCCGTTGAGAACTTAAACATAGTGAATCGAACAACCACATCTGTATTCCTGAGCTGGCTAACCCCTGAAGGCAACAGAAGCTCATATGCGTTAGAAGTTTCAGGCACTCCTTCGAAGAATCTAAACCTAAGTTCTTTGGACACATTTGCCCTTGTGGATGGTCTAGTACCAGGAAATTTCTATATATTCACAATCTATGCCAAAGATGGAAATGGTTTAACAGGGAATACGACTCTGACTTTTTCATATACAGGTACTTTTAAAATGCATCAGGATTTAATTATTAGGACAAATAAAAATACAATACATATTAATTGCATAATTGATATTTGAAAATTAATTGGTGATAAAATCTTTTTATCCTGGAAAGTTAGAAATTAATTTTGGATTTTAACTTAAGTAAACAGATATATAATGGTAAACGTGATTGAGAGACTAAATAGACATAGGTTAACTTTATAGTTTAGATAATATTGTTTTTTAATGTCAACTGCCTGTACTTAGGTTTTGCTATTTGAATAAATAAAACAAATTCAGAAAACTTACATTTGTTCGAACTGAATTTTTCTAAGTTGTCTTTTATATCTTCTGTTGAATGTTTTGAAGATATTTAATGGGATATTAGACCGATAGAAGATAAAATGAATGTAAACATTTGATTTTTGTATGCTGATCATGGTATCTAAGATATTTTAAATCATTAATCATATACAACCTAGACGATAGTCTACTAATAAATTAGCAATATGAAGTATGAGAAAGTTTTAGAGTTCATGTCTTGGAAAATGAACATAATAAAATCAAAATGGAATCATGCAAATGTGAGCTTTTTAATAGTATCATTAAGTACTTATCCAGGAGCTAAAATGCACAACCTTTGGCAGTAGAGTGTTGCAGTTAGTCAAATGGTAAAATATACTGTAGGTTTTGGTACTGGTCAAGGACAAAAAAAAGTTGTCTGGAACAAATGTCTAATTTGCATTATCAGTATAATATTGTTGCCTCCTGAGAAATCAAAATCTCTGCCTTTAGTCCAAGAATAGGTTAGCTATTCCTGTACTGTTCAGTGTGCATCATTTTGAATAAACACATTTTTATTTTCTAGTTCCTGCTGCAGTTGAGAACTTAAACATAGTGAATAGAACAACCACATCTGTATTCCTGAGCTGGCTAACCCCTGAAGGCAACAGAAGCTCATATGCGTTAGAAGTTTCAGGCACTCCTTCGAAGAATCTAAACCTAAGTTCTTTGGACACATTTGCCCTTGTGGATGGTCTAGTACCAGGAAATTTCTATATATTCACAATCTATGCCAAAGATGGAAATGGTTTAACAGGGAATACGACTCTGACTTTTTCATATGCAGGTACTTTTAAAACGCATCAGGATTTAATTATTAGGACAAATAAAAATACAATACATATTAATTGCATAATTGATATTTGAAAATTAATTGGTGATAAAATCTTTTTATCCTGGAAAGTTAGAAATTAATTTTGGATTTTAACTTAAGTAAACAGATATATAATGGTAAACGTGATTGAGAGACTAAACAGACATAGGTTAACTTTATAGTTTAGATAATATTGTTTTTTAATGTCAACTGTCTGTACTTAGGTTTTGCTATTTGAATAAATAAAACAAATTCAGAAAACTTACATTTGTTCGAACTGAATTTTTCTAAGTTGTCTTTTATATCTTCTGTTGAATGTTTTGAAGATATTTAATGGGATATTAGACCGATAGAAGATAAAATGAATGTAAACATTTGATTTTTGTATGCTGATCATGGTATCTAAGATATTTTAAATCATTAATCATATACAACCTAGACGATAGTCTACTAATAAATTAGCAATATGAAGTATGAGAAAGTTTTAGAGTTCATGTCTTGGAAAATGAACATAATAAAATCAAAATGGAATCATGCAAATGTGAGATTTTTAATATTATCATTAAGTACTTATCCAGGAGCTAACATGCACAACCTTTGGCAGTAGAGTGTTGCAGTTAGTCAAATGGTAAAATATACTGTAGGGTTTGGTACTGGTCAAGGACAAAAAAAAGTTGTCTGGAACAAATGTCTAATTTGCATTATCAGTATAATATTGTTGCCTCCTGAGAAATCAAAATCTCTGCCTTTAGTCCAAGAATAGGTTAGCTATTCCTGTAATGTTCAGTGTGCATCATTTTGAATAAACACATTTTTATTTTCTAGTTCCTGCTGCAGTTGAGAACTTAAACATAGTGAATAGAACAACCACATCTGTATTCCTGAGCTGGCTAACCCCTGAAGGCAACAGAAGCTCATATGCGTTAGAAGTTTCAGGCACTCCTTCGAAGAATCTAAACCTAAGTTCTTTGGACACATTTGCCCTTGTGGATGGTCTAGTACCAGGAAATTTCTATATATTCACAATCTATGCCAAAGATGGAAATGGTTTAACAGGGAATACGACTCTGACTTTTTCATATACAGGTACTTTTAAAACGCATCAGGATTTAATTATTAGGACAAATAAAAATACAATACATATTAATTGCATAATTGATATTTGAAAATTAATTGGTGATAAAATCTTTTTATCCTGGAAAGTTAGAAATTAATTTTGGATTTTAACTTAAGTAAACAGATATATAATGGTAAACGTGATTGAGAGACTAAATAGACATAGGTTAACTTTATAGTTTAGATAATATTGTTTTTTAATGTCAACTGCCTGTACTTAGGTTTTGCTATTTGAATAAATAAAACAAATTCAGAAAACTTACATTTGTTCGAACTGAATTTTTCTAAGTTGTCTTTTATATCTTCTGTTGAATGTTTTGAAGATATTTAATGGGATATTAGACCGATAGAAGATAAAATGAATGTAAACATTTGATTTTTGTATGCTGATCATGGTATCTAAGATATTTTAAATCATTAATCATATACAACCTAGACGATAGTCTACTAATAAATTAACAATATGAAGTATGAGAAAGTTTTAGAGTTCACGTATTGGAAAATGAACATAATAAAATTAAAATGGAATCATGCAAATGTGAGCTTTTTAATAGTATCATTAAGTACTTATCCAGGAGCTAAAATGCACAACCTTTGGCAGTAGAGTGTTGCAGTTAGTCAAATGGTAAAATATACTGTAGGTTTTGGTACTGGTCAAGGACAAAAAAAAGTTGTCTGGAACAAATGTCTAATTTGCATTATCAGTATAATATTGTTGCCTCCTGAGAAATCAAAATCTCTGCCTTTAGTCCAAGAATAGGTTATCTATTCCTGTACTGTTTATTGTGCATCATTTTGAATAAACACATTTTTATTTTCTAGTTCCTGCTGCAGTTGAGAACTTAAACATAGTGAATAGAACAACCACATCTGTATTCCTGAGCTGGCTAACCCCTGAAGGCAACAGAAGCTCATATGCATTAGAAGTTTCAGGCATTCCTTCGAAGAATCTAAACCTAAGTTCTTTGGACACATTTGCCCTTGTGGATGGTCTAGTACCAGGAAATTTCTATGTATTCACATTCTATGCCAAAGATGGAAATGGTTTAACAGGGAATACGACTCTAACTTTTTCATATACAGGTACTTTTAAAAAGCATCAGGATTTAATTATCAGGACAAATAAAAATAGAATACATATTAATTGCATAATTGATATTTGAAAATTAATTGGTGATAAAAACTTTTTATCCTGGAAAGTTAGAAATTAATTTTGGATTTTAACTTAAGTAAACAGATGTATAATGGTAAACGTGATTGAGAGACTAAATAGACATAGGTTAACTTTATAGTTTAGATAATATTGTTTTTTAATGTCAACTGCCTGTACTTAGGTTTTGCTATTTGAATAAATAAAACAAATTCAGAAAACTTACATTTGTTCGAACTTAATTTTTCTAAGTTGTCTTTTATATCTTCTGTTGAATGTTTTGAAGATATTTAATGGGATATTAGACTGATAGTAGATAAAATGAATGTAAACATTTGATTTTTGTATGCTGATCATGGTATCTAAGATATTTTAAATCATTAATCATATACAACCTAGAAGATTGTCTACTAATAAATTAACAATATGAAGTATGAGAAAGTTTTAGAGTTCACGTATTGGAAAATGAACATAATAAAATTAAAATGGAATCATTCAAATGTGAGATTTTTAATAGTATCATTAAGTACTTATCCAGGAGCTAAAAGGCACAACCTTTGGCAGTAGAGTGTTGCAGTTAGTCAAATGGCAAAATATACTGTAGGTTTTGGTACTGGTCATGGACAACAAAAAGTTGTCTGGAACAAATGTCTACTTTGCATTATCAGTATAATATTGTTGCCTCCTGAGAAATCTAAATCTCTGCCTTTAGTCCAAGAATAGGTTAGCTATTCCTGTAATGTTCAGTGTGCATCATTTTAAATAAACACATTTTTATTTTCTAGTTCCTGCTGCAGTTGAGAACTTAAACATAGTGAATAGAACAACCACATCTGTATTCCTGAGCTGGCTAACCCCTGAAGGCAACAGAAGCTCATATGCGTTAGAAGTTTCAGGCACTCCTTCGAAGAATCTAAACCTAAGTTCTTTGGACACATTTGCCCTTGTGGATGGTCTAGTACCAGGAAATTTCTATATATTCAGAATCTATGCCAAAGATGAAAATGGTTTAACTGGGAATACAACTCAGACTTTTTCATATACAGGTAATTTTAAAAAGCATCAGGATTTAATTATCAGGAAAAATAAAAATAGAATACATGGTAATTGCAAAATGGATATTTGACAATTAATTGTCAAGAAAAACTTTTTATCATGAAAAGTTAGAAATTAATTTTGGATTTTAGCTTAATGAAAGAGATATATAATCCTAAACATGATTGAGAGACTTAACAGACGTAGGTTAACTTCATAGTTTATATAATATTGTATTTTAATGTCAACTGCCTGTATTTTCATAAAATAAAAAAATATATGCAGAAAACCTAGATATCTTCAAACTGAATTTTTCTAAGTTGTCTTTTAAATCTTCTGTTGAATGTTTTGAAGATATTTAATTGGATATCTGACTGATAGAAGATAAAATGAATGTAAACATTTGATTTATGAATGCTGATAATGTGATCTAAGATATTTTAAGTCATTAATCATATACAACCTCGAAGATAGTCTACTAATACATGAGCAATTTTAAGTTTGAGAAAGTTTTAGAGTTCATGTAATGGAAAATTAACCTAATAAAATTAAAATAAAATGATGCAAAATATTTTTTTTTTTTTATTATATCATTAAGTACTTTTCTAGGAGCCAAATTGCACATCCCTTTGGCAGTAGAGTGTTGTAGTTAGTCAAATGTAAAAAGATTCTGTAGGTTTTGGTACTGGTCATGGACAAAAAAGTTATCTGGAACATATTTCTAATTTGTATTATCAATATAATATTGTTGCCGCATGAGAAAGAAAAATAACTGCTTTAAGTCCAAGAACTGGTTAACTATTCCTGTACTGTTCCATTTGTGTTCTCTCCTGCTGTGTTCTTCTTCCGACCCCCCTCTCCTCTGATGCCCTTCTTTTTCCCCTCCCCTATTTTGCCCTCTTTAGCCCCCCTGCCCACCTGTGACCTCTTTAGATCCCTCTTTGACTTATTTAGCCCCCTTGTCTCATGTGATTTCATAAGCCCCAGTCCTGTGTACTTTTTACCCACGGTCCCTCTTGTGCCTTCTTTCGCCCTCCCTACTGTGCCCTTCTTTTGTTCCCTCCTATCCCTTTATTAGACCCCTCCCTCCTGTGCCCTCTTTTGCCCCTCTGTCCTTTTGTGCCCTCTTTTGCCCTCCTCCCTACTTGCGCACTCTTTTCCCCCTTCACTTTCTGTGCCTTTATTTAGCACCCCTCCTGTGCATTTGTTTTGCCCCCCTTCGCTTGTGTACTTTTATTTAGTCTCCCTCACCTTCTGTGCACTTCCCTCCACTCTTTAGCCCCCTGCCCTTTAGTCTTTAGGTCTTCTCCCCTGTGACTGCTCATTCCGCGTCAGAGGAGCCTCTGCTTCCTATACCCGGTGTTACAGGAAACAGTTATCAGACTGGTAATGGAACAGAGGTAGTCTTCCTGCTCAATCACGCTACATTTTGTGACGGGCAGGAGGGGAGCGCTGTGCAGTGCACTCCCATCCTGCCGATCACCTGGTGATCATAACTTTTGAGTAGCCCCCTAATGAGTGGCACCCAGGGCGGACAGCTCCCATGCACCCCCTCTTAGTACACCACTGCAGCCATGTATACATCTTTCTTTCCCCTCTCTTCCATAGATGCATTATTTCATTTTTCACCATGCTAGCACACTTATGTTGATATATGTGTCTGTCTAGGCTTCCTATAAGTGATTTTTGGGAATTACTGCACTTTTTGCTAGTGAGGATTTTGAATATCTACACAGTGGATGAAACAGTGTCCTCTATAGGTGCATAATATATACTGCAATACTTGGGATAAAATCTAGGACTTCATCTCTTCTAATTTAGTTTATAAGAGACAAATTGGGAACTTCTTAAATTTTTTTGTATAATTGAGAACATTTTATATATGAACAGCAGAGGGAGTGAGGTTAGGGAAATATTGTAAGGGGAAGAAGAAAGATGAGAGATCTCTTCCCTGATTGTAGAGATCCTGTCAATAAAGTGAGTTGCAAAGTCTTAGGGGGTCAAGTTAATAGGTGGAGGAGGAACAATAGGGCGAAGAAGAGAGGTAAATGTGAAATAGTCATTTGGGTTCGCAGGAGAGTGTGGTTATAATGGTATTGAAGTTATTTACTTTTGCAAAGGAAAGAGCCAAGCTGTTTGAGCGCAGCATAAATTTATAGTGGAGAAAGTGAGATGCACAGTGAGTGGAGCATTTTTGGAAGTATCGAGTCAGCTTGGTGTGCCAAGGTTGTTGTGGGGGACACTTGCTGCATTTAAATATAGGAGGTGCCACGATGTCTAGTTGAGAGGAGAGGGTGAATTTGTAGAAGGATGTTCCAGAGCTAGGACAGGTGAGGTTTGAGATAGGTAAAAGGAGAGTTTGGAGATTAGTGGAGAAATGCTCTAGGTCAAGACATTAGAGGTTTGTGTGAGATTGTTCAGACGGTGATGTCAATTGGGTCTTAGGTATGCCAATGTCAAAAGTCAGTAGATGGTGGTCAGATAGAGGAAAAGGAATATTGGAGAGATTAGAGGCGGTACAGAGATTGGTTAAGGAGAGATCAATGGGTTGCTAAATTGGACCATTGCATAAGGCCAAAGGAGGAGATTACAGAGAGCAGACGAGAGGCATCAGTGCAGTTGGGGTTGTTGATTGGGATATTGAAATCAAAAAGTATAAGGGAAGGAGTGATAGATGAGAGGAAGTGGGGAAGCCAGGAAGAAAAGTGCTCAATGAATAGCCTTGGATGACCGGGTGTGTGGTAGATGATAGCAATTCTTAAAGGAGTGGGTTTAAATGGGCGGACAGTGTGAACTTAAAAAAAAAAAAAAAAGGTAGGGCAGGGGCATTTATGATTGGTTAAAAGGTAGGATTCCTACACCACCTCCTTTACAGTTGAGTCTGGGAGTGTGAAAGAATTGTAGCCCATCAAAACATAAAGAGGCAGGAGTAGTGCTATCAGAGGGGGACAGCCAGTTCTCTGTAAGTCATTAGTCTAATACTATCATTACTTTTTGTGTCACTTTACCTCACTCCCTCTAGCATGTAAGTTAATTGAGCAGGGCCCTCAACCCTACTATTCCTGTTTGCCCACTTGTCTGGTTACAACTACATGTTTGTTTGTCCACCCACTGTAAAGTGCTGTGCTATATAAATAATAACATGCTAATAACATAATAATTCCCAATTGAAACTGATTCATGATTAATTTTATTTGCACTAATGAAAGTTATGTTTTAATTCAACCCAGTTATTCTTATTTCTATTTAGTAGTCTAGTGGTGAACATTTATACTATTAGGACTCCCCTCTAAGCTTTTGTAGTAGGATGCAAACATTTTAAAATGTGAAAAGATAGTAAAGGGTAATTGCATAATAGAAATTTGACAAGAATTAAGTGGTAAGCGAAACGTTTTAGATAAAAAGAAAAGCAACAAATTCAGGATAACTTTTTAACTCCTTAATTTCCAAATGTGTGTATACATATTTACATTTAGTTTCCAATTTAAAATGTAGTCCATAAAGGCTCATTCTCCATCTTTTATTATCTTGGAGTAATTGCCAGGCTGCAAAGGGACAAATTTCTCTGCCAGGAACACATTCCAATCATTTAATGTCTGCAACATTGTTGAAAACATCAGCTATACTCACCCAAAAATAATAAAAGTTGTAATTAGTAATACTAGTACTACAGTACAGGAGGAGGGGTGAATAAGCTCTAACATTTTATTTTTATCATTCTATTAGCATTCCATTAGTTGCTAAAATTAGTTATTAAGGAAAAATTTAAGGAAAAATTCCAAGCACCATAATCACTATTGCTTGCTATAGTGATTATGGTGCCATGAGTGACCTGATGCCCTCCCACAGTATTTTCTCAAGCCATCTAAGAATGGTTTTACAGCATTTAGCATGGCTGATTTCTTCTAGGGAACCCACAAGATTATCCCCACTGGCCTAAAAGCTCCTCCCCTAGTTAGGCCCAGCGTGGAGCTGTTCTCAGTCAATGAGTGCAGCCTTGCACCGCTGGGCTTAGCTCAGTGGAGCTAATTGAAATCTCTTTTGGGAGATTCTGGAATGAGAGGTGGCACTGTTTTTTTCTAACTATATATAGGAGTCTCCTAGCAGAGTAATGGTTTACTTTGCTTACTGATTAGTATTCCCTCCATTGATGTCTATGGGAAAGTTGATATTTTGTAAGCTAAGAATTTGATGTCTTCCTGACATGGGATTGGAACACTGATAATTGAACTTGAAATGTGAATCACAGTAGTAAAGAAGGCATCACTTGGAAACTTGATGTTAGATACTGATTTCTGACTAAACATTTTATATAGTACTTATAAGATATTTTAAGATGTTTCTCAAGATGTTTTGGGAGTTAGATTAAACAAGCAAAATGAAATATATAGCTAACCTTGTATTTATTTTTTTATTTCTCATTTTCAGTGCCCGAAAGTGTGACAAATATTACTGTTAGCAATATCACCCTTAACTCTGCAGTCTTGAGTTGGATGGCACCTAGAGGGAATATAAGTTCATATTTGATTTCAGTCCAGAGCAGTTCTATAAATATTACCAGTATTACTCGTGAGGAATTGATCTTTGTTGGAAACTTGACTGCAGGAATGCAGTACACATTTATAGTGTGTGCAAGGTCTGGAGGAAACACCCTGCAAGGTCAATGTACCAGTATATCTGCATCTACTCGTAAGTATTGGGGCCTTGGAAGAAAGAAAACTGTTGTGGAACAATAATCCTTATGTAAACAAATTCTCTTGAATGAAGAGAATAGTAGTAGATGTAGGTGATGTCCTATGCACAAAGGGAGGTTTGTTAATGTAACAGAAATTGAAACTAATATGGATTCTGAAGTGATATGTGTAATACATGTTTGTGAGCTATTTATTTATTTATTATTTATTTATAAAATATTTTACATTGAGATTTCTCTCATTTTCAAGTATGTCCTGGGTCCACAAATCATTGCATTGTTACATTAGGGTACAATAAAATACAAAACAATATTAATACACAATAAATAAAAAATTTAACATAGAACAGGTAGGAAATATATAATCAACAATGACAGGTGCATTCTGTTTTGAGGTATGTAAAAGGTATCTTAAAGGACTTTAGGCTTAGGGAAGATTTTAAATTATGCGGGAGGTCGTTCCACAATTGTGGTGCTCTGTAAGAGAAGGAGGATCGGGCTGCTTTCTTTTTGTATTGAGGTAGACTAAGTAAAGTGTTGGTACTGGATCGGAGCTTATAAGAAGTGGGAACAGCTGGGGAAAGCATTTTGTTCAGGTAGGGTGGGAGTTTCCCGGAAAAGCTCTTAAACACAAGGCTGGAAAGATGAAGGGTGCGTCTGGATTCCAGCGACAGCCAGTTTAGTTCTTTAGTTAGCACAAATCGGCAGAACGAATTATACAATGTATTGAGTTTATTAATGTGGGATTGCGGTGCAGATGCATATACTACATCCCCATAATCAATGATTGGCATAGGCATGTGTAGTATTTGTGTGATGTATGTGCATATGCCTGTGATGCATGTATTGCATGTGTGATGCATGTGTATTTTATGTGTGTATTGTGTAATATTTATGCTACAGTTATGCATAATGTGTGCAATATATATATATTTATATATCATATGTTTGATTTGTTTAATAAGTGTATGTCAAGAAGTGCATTATTCAAGTCACTGTAGTCTGTCGTGTTTGTGTAATGTTTCGTGAAGCATGCTAAGCATGTACTATTTGCATAATGCATAGTTATGTGTGGGTATGTGTATATGATATATTTTATGCCTGTTATGTGCAATGTGTTGAGATGTATTCGCACCTTGAAAACTCAAGGAATTACAGTAACTCCACACACTACTCTGATGTCACTGGGCATTAGGAAAATTAGTAACTTCTGACTACCTGGTACTCAGCCCATTGGAAGAGTTAAAAGGAAAATATAGTGTCAGCACCTTCTGGTGAAGAGAGATTTCATGGCTACAGAGATAATTTTCCACACACATGTTCAAGCTCTGAGGTAGTTCATATTGAAGCTATGAACGTGTTTGTTTTATTGACAAAAGAATTACAAGAAGACCAATTTCACCTGCATTATGTTTAGCATCCTGCAGGGTACAGAGTTGGTTGGATGGGATTTTATTCCTCCATAGAAAAGGCCTCCTTCCCTGATTACTGCAGATGAATGTTAGACTTGTGCATTTGAATTTGGCTGATTTGCCATTTGAACAAATTTGGGCCAATCAGCTGTTTTGTCAAATTCAATATCTCAGAAGTGCTGTATAACTGAGAAAGTTTCTAACGCAATGGCTGACCATGTTCGTTTGATTATGTTTTCCCCCGTGGTGCTATACTACCCCCTTCTCTCATCTCATGTCTTGCAATCATTTTTCTACTCTCCCTCCTACCCACAATCGATCTCATCCTAGACCCCACACATACAAAACCCATTCACACCTCCTGTCACTTTGTCTCCTCCTGCTTCAAGCAGCTGGTGATGTCTCTCCCAATCCAGGGCCCTTCACCTTCTCTACACACACTAAGAAAACCAGAAACCCCACAAACCTCAACACAATACCCTGCCCTTTACCCTCACTTGCCAACATTCAGTGTGCACTTTGGAGTGCCCGCTCCATCTGCAGTAATTTAAAAACAGCCATACATTACTTTTTCATCTCAAACTCACTCACTCTACTTGCACTTACAGAAACCTGGCTGTCCCCCTCTGATAGCGCTACTCCTGCCTCTTTATGTTTTGGTGGGCTACAATTCTCTCACACTCCCAGACCCCACTGTAAAGGAGGTGGTGTAGGCATCCTTATTTCTCCTCAATTTACCTTTCAACCAATCATAACTCCCCCAGTCCTATCCTTTTCTTCTTTTGAAGTTCACACTGCCTGCCTAGTTAAACCCACTCCTTTAAGAATTGTTATCATCCACCGCCCCCCTGATTATCCTAGACTATTCATTGAGCACTTTTCTTCCTGGCTTCCCCGCTTTCTCTCATCTAGCACTCCTTCCCTTATACTTGGGGATTTCAATATCCCAATCAACAACCCCAAATGCACTGATGCCTCTTGTCTGCTCTCTGTAACCTCCTCTTTTGGTCTTACGCAATGGTCCAATTTAGCAACCCATACAGTGGGAAACACTCTTTATCTCGCCTTCACCAATCTCTGTACCACCTCTAATCTATCCAATATTCCTTTTCCTCTATCTGACCGCCATCTGCTGACTTTTGACATTGGCATACCTAAGACCCAATTGACACCACCATCTGAATATCAATCTCACAGAAACCTCCAATGTCTTGACTTAGAGCATTTCTCCACTAATCTCCAAAATCTTCTTTTACCTATCTCAAACCTCACCTGTCCTAGCTCTGCAACCTCTCCTCTCAACTAGAAACCATGGCACCTCCTACATTTAAATGCAGCAAGCACCCCCAACAACAACCTTGGCACACCAAGATGACTCGAGCCATGATTCCCTTTTATTCCAGAAGTTTGGTCCTTAAGGGGTTAAACTCAACTTGACCAAAACTGAAATTCTGGTCTTTACTCCCTCAAGTGTTGCTACTCCTGTGTCTGTCTCCCTCCAAGTGAAAGATGCTACCATCAGCTTTACCACTCAGACTCGCTGCCTAGGTTTTCTCTTTGACTCTGACCTCTTCTTCACGCCTCATGTTCAGTCTATCACCAAATCCTGTTGCTTCCATCTCAAAAACATTGCACGCATCCGACCCTACTTAACGCCAGGTGCAACTAAGGTGCTGGTCCGTTCCACTGTCCTTTCTTGCCTTGCCTACTGTAATCCGCTTCTCATTGGTCTTACGTGCTCCCAACTTGCGCCGTTACAGGCCATAATGAATGCGGCGGCAAGGCTCATCTTCCTGTCAGTCTGCACCTCCCAAGCCTCACCCTTCTGTCAGTCCCTACATTGGCTTCCTGCAAGATATAGGGCTCAATTTAAAATTCTGGTTCTTGCTTTCAAATCTCTACATATATACATATCATGTCTACGCCCTTACGCTCTGCTGAAGACTTACATCTATCTTCTGTCCATACTCCCACCTCTGAAGCTCGCCTTCAAGACTTCTCGAGGGCTGCACCGTTGCTGTGGAACTCACTTCCCTCCTCCGCTAAATGCTCACCCAGTCTCCACTCCTTCAAAAAATCATTAAAAACCCACTTTTTCATAAAAGCATATCAATTAAACTGTTAATAGCTCCCGACTGATTCCTCTCTTGCAACTGTCATTAGTCTAATACTATCCTTGCCTTTTGTGTCATTTTACCCCACTCCCTCTAGCATGTAAGCTCATTGAGCAGGGCCCTGAACCCCTATGTTCCTGTGTGTCCAACTTGTCTGGTTACAACTACGTCTGTTCATCCACCCACTGTAAAGGGCTGCGGAATTTGTTGGCGCTATATAAATAATAACATAATACTAACATAATAATATCACAGGAACAACCTCGCCAACTAATTTTAACTTAGGCCTCAATTTAATATTGTTGAATAAGCTTTCCAAATTATTTAATATTTTCCAAAAAACTTTTAAAATTATTTCATTTTGTGAAACCTATTTTAACTTTGTAATATCTTTATATTTTTTATATATTAAGATGTTTTTTTACATATTTATATATTTTGATATGTTGAAGAAATACATTTTATTCTAAAATATTAAATCATTTGGAAAGTGTATCTAACAATATTAAATCAAGGCCGTGGGACTCTAAACCAAAATGTGCACGTCAACACCAAAAATTAAATCAACATGCTGATTGTTTGCTGGAAAAAAATCTTATTCCAGTTAGTTTAAATCATTGTTTTTTTTTTTTTCCTGCAGATAAAAGCAGCCTCACTCTCTCCCTCGTTTATCTTTCAAATGCAGAAAAAAGACAGCAAATCATAATGAACATGGTAAGCTACAACAGTCATTCCTGTAGAATATTATTGATTAAACTATTCTGAATTATGCTTGAAATTGTTAACAAAATTTCCACTTTGGTTCCCTTTGAGGTTTAAAAAAAAATAAAAATATTTCTCTAGAAAACCTCATGAAATGCCAACACAATCAGGAGTATACAGTATTTTAAACAAAATTAATACTCTGTTTTTGGCAAAATATGAAAATGGGAGCAGCTTTCACCATCACAACCTGCTATATCCCATAATATACCATCTGTGACAATTGATGTGAACATGCATGTTCATATGTGATATGAGTCTTATTGCACATGTGCAAAAAGATCTATGTATGATCCTGAGGGATGTTCTAAAGCAGCGGTAGGCAACCTTTGGCACGCCAGAGTATTATGCTCTCACAGCCATAATGCTGGCAAAGCGTGACTCTGTAAAGCGTGACATTCACAAGAGTACAAGATTGATGCAAAAAAGGACACATCAGCAGCTAAAGAGGCATGGCTGTGGAAACTATGGCTGCATTGAGCAGTTGACAGCACCAGATAAGTATATCTACCTAGGTATTCACCCCTACAGTGCCACCATACAAGAGGAAATGTCACATTTGCAAGTGGAAGTTCCATTTTAGTACTATGGCATTTTAGTGCGAGAATACATTAAGTACCAGAATAACTTAAATTTTTTGTGTGTTTGTTAATTTGTAATATTCTCTAAAAAAGTTAAAGCTTTCTTTTGATCATAGAAATATAATTTGTCTTTTGGGAATACTAAAAAATCTTCTGTTTTTGGTTATAAGCTGGTTCAAAATGTTATAGGGAATTATATATTTTAAAAGCTGGTGTTTTGCACTTACTCTTCCCTATATTGTGAAGGCATACATGGCTGGGTTTTGTCTTTAAAACCTCAGACAGAATCACACTGTAACAAGCATCATTCTTTAATAATGCAGATAAAGAGGCTTGATTTGAGTAGTCAATATCTGAAGGGCCTAATTTTATGGTCACTTTCATCCCTTCATGATTGCAATGACCCACAAGGATTCTCATGTAACTTTGGAAGCTATACAACTAAAATTGGCACACTCACAGTCTCCAAACTTCTTAAAGGAACACTCAAAGTACCTTAGCCACAACAGCCTGTGCAGATATTTTAAGAAAACAAAATGTTTTTGAATAGTTTGACTTCTTACCTGGGGTATGCCAGGTGTTGCTTCTTGCCTCCATTACCAATCTTGGAGAGCTGGAAGCTCCTAAGCAGGAACTTCCTTTAGCATTCCTGAGCTAAGCCCTACAGTACAAGAAGTTTGACTCCTTAATGGTATTGTGAACTGAAGTGGTTATAGTGCTTTTAGTGTTTTGTTTTTTTAAAGGGTTACAACAGTCATCATAATCAGGATAGCCAGCTGCAGTGGTTTTAATGCCAAGAGTGCCTTGGCCTGGATCTACATAATAGGGCAAACCATTTAGCAATGGTTTGTCCCCTTACCAAGGTTTCTGCCTGACTCCAATGCTCAATGGTGCACTTCTGGCTTCTGCAGAGCCACACAAACCAGAAGCCATGGCTCTTGATTCAGGTTACCGCTCTCAGCCAATGACAGACCTTCTGTGCAATGAAAGTTACACAGACTTGACATTAGCCAGCCTGCAACTCTAGTTCCAGGATGGCTGTTGGCACCACAATGACACTCCAGAGGGGTTCAACGCTGCACATACAGACTCTAGGTGCCATGATTACTTCAAATAACTGAAGTGGTCCTGGTGTTTGGAGTCACCCTTTAAGCTCTGGTTTGAGTTGGCATATTTTAAAAATCACATGAAACAACACTTACAAAAGTATACATTTTATAATAATAATCCATAGCACATGAAATGTAGGAAAATATTCTATTTATGCCCATTTACTTTTCCTAACACAATCAGGAATAGCTTTAGGGGTAAGGAATAAAGAAATCATACTGCAAATATTACTTAGTGATTACCTCAATAATGATTTTCACTCATGTTCATTTTTTTGTTCAAGATGCAGTGTGGTATTATCAGAGTAGTTTTAAATGGTAAAGTAATTCCATATGGGCTTATTTAACCCCTTAAGGACAGAGCTTCAGAAGCTTGTCTTTCACTTAATAACAACAGCATTTTTTGTATTTTTTGCTGTTTGCGTTCAACTGCAATTTGCATTTTACTAATTTATTGCACCGACACATATTATATATAATTTTTTTAAAGGACAGAAAGGGCTTTAATTTGATGTAACACACATATATAAATGCTTATTTATTATAAAAAAAATACAGAAATATGCAAAAAAAAGAGACATTTTTTGTTTTTTTTGTACAGTTTTTGCAATAATAATGTGTGCATAACTAGTGCAGGTTAAGGAAAGTAATTAAAAATAAATTCATTTAGTTGTTCTGATTTACAGAATATATAATGTGTCTGGGATTTGAAGTTTTTTTTGGTAGTTACAGGTCACAAAGCACAAGGAGTAAAATAAACGTTTAATGTGGAGAGATTTTAGAATTTAGTAAGCTTAATAGCCATAAAAGAAAACAAAATTGCCACACAAAAGTATATATTTATATAAAGTAGACATCACAGGCTATTTACCTATGGTTGTTTTGACACTTTCTACATAGCCATTTCACCGCCAACCTCTGCTAAATATTGGAGTAAATTTGTTTATTTTTTTTTGCACACAAACTTATAACAAAGAACTTCTTGTGTGTATTTTGTAAAGTTGGTGTGTGCTATTCCTGTACAAAGTTTTATTTTGTGTTTAGTTACATCTGCTGAGTAAAATGACAACCCCATTGTATGTTTTTGGCACTATTTGGTGAAGCTACATATAGGAGACCTGTCCTTTTCAGTAATCACAGTAGAATTTTGAGAGACGGATTTAATGAGCCAATGCTTCCATTTGGGGTATTATAACAGTTTGACTGTTCAAAAAAGCCCACAAAGGCCTACCATTTGTAAGAGTAGACACTCCAGGGTATCTCATAAGGTGCATATTGTGCCTTAACATGCCCCCATTTTTTCACCAATAAATGCCAAAGTATGTGGTAAAAATAATTTTGTACGTTTTTTATATATGGATTGCATTTTTGATGGGCATTTTGTATATTTCACATGTGCCACTAAGTTCAAACCCCCCAAATTATGTTCAGCTAAGTCTTCTGAGTAAAATGACGCCACCACTGTATGTCTTTGGCACTATTTTGTGAAGCTACAGTGCCATATAGGAGACCTGTCCTTTTCAGTACTCACAGTAGAATTTTGAGAGATGGATTTAATGAGCCTATGCTTCCATTTGGGGTATTATAAGAGTTTGACTGTTCAAAAAAAAAACCACAAAGGCCTACCATTTGTAAAAGTAAACACTACAGGGTACACTCCAGGGTATCTCATAAGGTGCATATTGTGCCTTAATATGCCCCCCTTTCTTTACCAATAGATGCCAAAGTATGTGGTAAAAATAATTTTGTGCGTTTTTTACAAATGGATTGCATTTTTGCTGGGAATTTTGTATATTTCACATGTGCCACTAAGTTCAAACCCCCCAAATTATGTTCAGCTATGTCTTCTGAGTAAAATGACACATTCATTGTATGTCTTTGGCACTATTTTGTGAAGCTACAGTGCCATATAGGAGACCTGTCCTTTTCAGTACTCACAATAGAATTTTGAGAGATGGATTTAATGAGCCTATGCTTCCATTTGGGGTATTATAACAGTTTGACTATTCAAAAAAAAAAAAACCCACAAAGGCCTACCATTTGTAAGAGTAGACACTCCAGGGTATCTCATAAGGTGCAAATTGTGCCTTAACATGCCCCCATTTTTTCACTAATAGATGCCAAAGTATGTGGTAAAAAATTATTTTGTATTTGTATTTGAATTTTGACGCTGGTCCTATGGGCAATTAACAAGCATCTCGGCCTACCATTACTTAAAGTAGACACCCCAGGATATTGCAAAAGGTATATTCTAAACCATAGTGTAGGATCATTTTTTGTTAGTGTGTACCAAGTATAGTTACAATTAGCATTTTTTCTGCCTTTTTGACGCACACTTGGAGATGTTACTGTATATTTTGCTATCCTTATGTGTGCTACGGCAGTATAACACCTAATATGTTGCTCAGCTATGTCATCTTAGTGCAACAATAACCCCATGTGTACCTTTTTCAGGGTTATGTGGATGTTGAAGGGGCACATTGGAGACCAAGTCATATCAGTTTTTACCGAACTTTGAATTTTGACGCTGGGCCTATGTGCAATTTCCAAGCATCTTAGCAGGTTTTAAATTCAAACTACCCCACAAAGGCCTACCATTTCTTAAAGTAGACAACCCAGGGTATTTCAAAAGGTATATTCTAAACCTTAGTGTAGGATCATTTTTTTGTTAGTTTCTACCAAGTCTAGTTGCAGATAGCATTTTTTCTGCCTTTTTGACACACACTTGGAGATGTTACTGTATATTTTGCTATCGTTATGTGTGCTATGGCAGTATAACACCTAATATGTTGCTCAGCTATGTAATCTTAGTGCAACGATAACCCCATGTGTACCTTTTTCAGGGTTATGTGGATGTTGAAGAGGCACTTTGGAGACACACCACTTCCATATTTTTCAAAAGTGGATGCTGGGCCCAAGTCTCATTTTTGCAGCTCAGGACTACAAATTACCTCTCAATGGCCACATATATTTTTAGCTATAAGTAGCTCATCAATTCAAATTATGCACAAGTGCATACTATTTGTTGTGAAAAGGGGGAATAGTTGGGGTAAACTTATCCGGGGGTAGTACCCAGTCATCTGCGCCCCGGGCAAAGCTGTCATGGATTCCAAAACCAAAACACAGACAGACCACAAAGAGAGAGAACACAGAGAGAGAAACTTGTAGTACCGGTCCTTAGAATGGCCGGGCTATACAAGCAGAGAATTGTCAAGGTACAAGCTGAGGTCAAAGGAGTAGAGAGAAATGGAATAACGATAGGACAA